GTTTATTGGTGTACCATTTTAATTCTGTATGGATGATACCTATGCCTCTTCAAAAGTCTCTACACAGTAGAAGGAGATACCTCACAAACATTCGCGACGGAATAAGTAGACTGTTCAGGATTTACTACTATCTCGCCAATTATTTGCACTTGCTTTTCTTCCGGAATGGACGGATGACCTGGGGGCTTTTTGTTATGTACACTGCCGGTAGTTGTGAATTTGGATACAAATTTCCTCAAATATTTTCTACAGAAAGGACGATTCGAAAAACGTTCATTGAAAATCCTTTCGGTCTCGTGAACCGCCAACCGACTACTATCTTTTCAAGCACTTCGATGGGTTTCTCAGCAGAAGAACCTTCGCCAATCAGAACCAGACAAAAACGGTCTTCGTCGACTTCATCCAATCTCGAGCATAAATTTTTATGCTGAAGGAATTAGTCGACTTGTGCAACGTTGGCAAGACTGCACTGATACGAAATGCGTCTATTTCGATTAAATGAAATAAGTATTCACTAATATATTACAATTTGAATTAGACCCCCAACAAAGCGGATAAAACTTTTGAAACAACCTTGAACTAAGTGACATAAAGAAAACACCCAGTATCAATAAATTTGTTACAACAATTTTGAGCCTATTATCAATATACACACCAAGAAATTTTGTGTTCAAATTTATTTTACAAGATATCATTTTCTATTGACAGTTCATTTAGCAGACATTTAAATGTTATTATATTTATTTTGGAGATATTCAAGGATAATAAATTAGCATCATACCAATTTTTCACCTTTTCTAAATCAAATGATATCTTTTTATGTAGCTCTCTGGGGTTTTTTGGGTTTTATGTAGCTCTTCTGGGTTTTTTTACCTCCACAATATTGTTGTATCATCCGTGATCTCCTCTTTCACCACGTCGACCATCATGCGTGCCCAAACAGAATCCGGATTCATCACTGAAGACAATGGTATTCCATTCATACAATTACATAAATACAATTAAATTGGATACTTTTTTTACAATGCACATTTTATAATGTCTGTCAAATTCTTATAAAAATTGATACAATTGTTGTTTTAACTATTTAATTTAGATAAACTTTGTCTTTTACACTAAGTATTTTGGACGAATCGTTTGAAAATTATCGCGTTAAGATTAATTTGGCCCAACGCAGTAAGCCATTACGCGTCGCGTCAACTGTAAGACAAAAGTGGACGATGCGCGGGGGTAGAGGGGCGGTCTAAGCAATGAAGCGCCATCGCCAAGAACGCGACCCGAACGCGGGCAGGCGCGTGAGGGCAGACGTCGTTGACGGTTGTATTAGTTTTGCGAATTTCTTTATAGGTAATATAATTCGATTCTCGAAACTATTCATTACTTACTGCCGTTGGCATATTTTTTTATTTACTGTATTTTTAAAGTAAACATATAAATTACTAGCTGTTACCCGCTCTTGTATGTATTAACGTACAGCCTAAGCTACTGAACCTAGAATCTTTAAATATGCAGGTAGGTTCTTTGTATAGTGTAAATGAGCATCAAGAAGGGGAATCAAGAATTTCCACCGCCAAGGGGGGAAAATAGGGGTATTGAATTTTGTCTGTTTTGAAGTTGAAAAATATTTTAACTATTTGTTGAAAATGGTATGTCACGAAACTTAATGTGACAAACAAAATTCTACGCGGGCGAAGCCACGGGCAACAACTAGTGGTTCATCATGTTGTTAGGAAGTTCAATAAAAATTGTGTCAACCTGAAATTTTTCCCACAAGAATTCATCTACTCGAAGTTGAATTGATTCTGCGGTGTTACGTGACTGACGGGGCTACGAATAGCCATGATTCTCCTCAGGTGACTCGAGAAGTTATTAACATATACTACCCAGAACACGAGGTCATGGACACAAAAGAAGTGAAATGAAAGTTGATCAACAAATTGGACCAAACAAATATGTAGCTAATTGAGCTGAATCCAGTCCTGTGCACTGTTAGCTGACCATCGTCGACAGATGCAAACTCTCCGTATCTCTATTTCATAAAGTCGAAAGTTGTCATTGCTGTCAAGTCGTTGAAGGAAATAACTATCGACATAACTCAGTTTCGATTTGCGTTCGACAAAAAATGATAAATAACTCTTGCGGACGGATTTACATACATTGCAATTGCTTTGTTTAATGGCAATGGATTTCTCCGGTTGATGAATGTTTCACAGTCATATACCGCTTCTGATTTATGATGCAGACGTTATTCTCTTTCAGGTGATATGACAATCGGTTGTGGAATAACTCATGAGACCGACGCATTTCAATTTCAACCTTCCTCCATGTAAGTGCTGTCCATGAAAACGAAGTCGATTCTTGAATGTCATCACGAGATTTGAATGGGATTATTATAATAGGGAAGCTCAAGCAGGGATTTCGGGATTTACTGAAGCGCGGCAGATTAATATACAGGGAGATACCTTGTACCCGGTTGAGTACCTCCACCAAATATGAGCCCCATATATAAGGCCGCCCGTGAAGGATAAAGGATCAGATTAGTTAAAAAAAAATTGATCATCAGAAATTCTCGAGCGCGTCAGATTAAGGTAGGGTGAGTTAATTACATGCTAAAAAGTGTATATTCCAGTAATCTGACAATTTGAGAGTGACGTAAAGAAAGGGGAGGGCAGCAAAGCTGTAAAAAAAACGTCATCTCGACATTCTCGAGCGTAGCTATTTTTTTTATTTTGAAGAAAATAATTCAAGGATATCGAAAAATATATAATCTGACGATTTTCGCAAGCCGAAATAGCAAAAATTCGTCAAGAAAGTTTAATGCGTGCAGCTGCGTGATGTCTATATTTCCCTCTCCGCGTTTTAATTCCTTTTTCACTTTTTCTCTATCTATTACTCTCTCACTCCGTCCCCACTCTGAATTCTGTTGCCATGACGCCATTACAGCTAATCACAGAGACTCGTTCGTGATGAAGATTAATTAATCAATTAATTGATGGATGTAGTCGTTACTACGTGGTAGGAAATCATAATGAAGAAAAGAGAAATGAAACTCTATGTTTTTTACCACTTTTATTTGTAACTAACGTTACTGCAGTTTCGTTCTATAAGGACTTTTTCAAACTTATATATGGTATAAGTAACTGCAGTAATGTTAGTTACAAATAAATGTGGTAAAAAACATAGAAAGTTTCATTTCTCTTTTCTTCATTAATTATTCAATATACACTATGTTTTCTAAGTAAAATACACGCTATTTCCTGAGTTTTTCAATTAAGTTCAATGATTAAAAAAAATCAATAATGTTTCCATACCACATATGTACAGTGTCACCATTAAAGTGCGCACCATATGGGAATTTTTTTTTCGAAAAGTTTCAATGAAGTTTAACTTCGGCACTTGTTTGTGCTTCAAATTTAACTTAAAATGATGCGGCCAACTGCGACCCACTGACGTTCAGTGTTTGTCAAATTCAACTTAAAAAAAAATTGAAAAAATATTTTTTGTCAGATTAGGCGAATCCCTCTAGATAATCGTCAGATTATGAGACAGCACGTCTAAAACATAAACATGAACGATATATATCTTAATCTGACGCGCTTGAGTATTTCAAAATGACGATTTTTTTTTGCACATTATAATAATGGCCGCGAGTTTGCGTCAGATCGAAATCGTCAGATTATTGAATGAGAGCTTTTTTTGGGGCACTTAACACTCCCTTAGAAAATCTGACACGCTAAATTATTTTTTTTTTCATTTTTATCCCTTAGGTACAACCACCCACATCATGCAAACGATCAGATTAACATACCAACATTATTAAAAATACGTAGGACATTGATGGTATCAATTTCTGACGCGCTCGAGTATGTCCATGCAACAGTTTTTTTACATATTCAATATTCTATAACAGCTTCCCCCACCGACGAAAATGTATATATTATATAACATTTGTTACTTCTTATCTAAGCTTTGCAACCTAATAGGTCTCTATGACGCTCGAGTAAATCTCCATCTGACTTCATTCCTTCAATCTGCGATGTTTATTCTCATTGTAGTGTAACGGTAGCTTCAGTTATCTAGTCTGTGATTTGGCTACATTGTAGCTAATTAAAGTATCCTTTTTGTTTCTATTTTATCTCCACAAATGTTTTCTTTCAGTTCCGTAATTTTCGTGAAAATTTCATCGTGAATCTGAAAATGGAACTTTTAACAGGTAATGATCGACTGCATTGCCAAACTAACTGACTGTTATAAGAAAACAAGTAAACTGAGGCACCAGTCAATCTAATAATAACACTGATGGTCTTCAAACATGACACAACCTCTGACGGAAGCACCAAACTCTTACGCAGACTCAAAATAGATGAGCTCTTCAATCTAGCAGACCACTATTATAATCTTCATGCATTCACTGTTCACTGTGGTTCTGGCGTTGAGTCTGGTCATTATTACGCCTTGGTAAAAGATGAAACGGATTGCTTTAAGTTTGACGATAGTCGTGTCACGAAGTGTTCTGGCGATGTCTTGAATTTATTGGAGCCTCTGGAGACACCCTTCAATTTGTTTTATGAGACAGAGGACATTGGCAGATCAAGATCTTCGGATGATGTGGTGCTGCAGGTTTTCCTGGTTTTCCTGCAGCTGAAAAAGCAAATGCGCCACTGGAATAATTGAAATCGCCCCAGAGCGCCAATTATTTTTGTTTTATAATTCCATGTTTTGTATTGTAAATTAAGTACTACTCAATTCATATTAAAATAAACGCGAGTAACGATTTCAAAATGAATCAAGATGTTTTCGATAAGGAGTTCGAAGCTGTTGATGGAATATACGATGAAAATACAAAATACAAAATTCAAACAACCTTTTTTTTTCTGTTTCGAGTGTTTAACTCGGGCGGCGTCCCATAAATTTCCGTCCAAAAGTAATCGAAAATTCCAACAATTCCAATCGAGCTATTCATTATCTGATTAACTAACCGATGTTTTGTTTCTTTCCAGCCGGATATTATCAACCGGCGGGGCCGTTGATAACCGTCCCACACGGCCACGGCCAGCCGCCCCCGCCTCCGACAAAAACTACCGCCGCCCCCCTGTCGGAAGCGTCCCCGGCGACGTCGACGACGCCGTCGCTTACGTCTCACGAGCCGCCCCCACCACCGCCCAGCTCCAACGGGGACTCCTCGGACAGCGAAGTGAGTATTAGTCGTAGGGATTTCCGGATTGTTCGATGGGGAATATGATTTACTGGTTTATTGGGTCGATTCATATATTGGTTCTTTCTTTTGGGGATGTTTAGTGCCGACTAGTAGGTGAAAACCGTCACCCTCGTCATCTAGAATTGTGAATACTTCTTGAAATTGAAACATTTTCAGGAGAGATCAATTTTCACGGGTGTGATGTTATTCGTACATTGAGAGAAAATTCAATAAATTATTATTATTATTTTTTCTTTCGAAACATTTGTACACCTACCTTGTTTCAATTAGATATGCCTTTTGATTAGTTTAGTGAAATGTACTAGTTTTCCATTTCACTGAAGGGGTGAAAATGGGGGAGAGATATTTTGGAAATTCGTATCATACATACATACAAGTAAAGCTAATAAAATCGTGTTGAAAATACAGTTCATGGCTTTTGCATTATATCTGAGGTGGACTACTTGATTAAATAAATATTTTTTGAGAAAAATGAAAATACACCTTATTTTTCAAAAGGATCTCGTATTTCCAATATTTCGACAGTATTTACTATCTTCTTCAGGGAGAGCAACGATGTTCTGAATTACAATATTGAGGAAACTGAATAATCATTTGCAGTGACGATGAGAAAGGTGTGTGAAAATTAACAAAAATCATTTTTCTGAGGGAAATCAGGTTTTTTATTGGACATATGTATAAGGACAAACTTTTCAGTTAACCCCGTTAAGTTACTGCGTATATTCAAAATATTTGTTGTCACAAAAAAATAAGTTCTATTTATAAATAACTTGTTGTATTGAACAATTTTGCCTATCAAAAAGACTTTTACGTTTCTCTCTTTAACTTAGTTTCTTTTTTCTTGGTAATACAATAATAAACGTATTATTGACGTCATAAACAGTTCAGGTGCTAATGAATATTTTATCTGCGTTCACATCTTGACAAGTCAAGATGCCCCCTAGATACAACCTCACTATGGCATGGAAATGATACAGACTCTCTGAAAAATATAATCGAGGCTGATTTAGAAAAAATCAAATCTTGGTGTGATTCCAATTCTTTGTTTCAATGTGAATAATAAAACTAACATAATTTCGTTCAAATTTGTTTCTGCAAACCTAATCCTCCAGAATCATGTAATCGAAAATAAGACGTGCACCAAATTCTTTGGATTATGGATTAATAATATGGATATTCACGTTAAGAAGAGAATGACGTCATTTTTGGTAAGTTTGTATATCCAACATAACAACGTTAAAATTCCCAATGAAATGCGTTCAGTAGCAATGAAACTAGTGAAATTTCATTTTTTCATTTGAGTTGCTCAACTGATAGTAAAGTTTCAGACGTTGCCGAATCGAAACTAATAATTTCTTTTAGTAAGACCTGCATATATTCAATATGCCTAAAGCGTTGTCGAGAGAGTCTCAACAAATAGTAGCGTAGTAGCGTAATACATTCAGAAGAGCCTTCAGTTATAGTCATGGATAATGCGAATTATCACAGCAATATTATTAATAAAACCCTAACAACAGCATCGAGGAAAGCTTGTGATGTCATTCTCTTCTTAACGTGAATATCCTTCACCCCGAAGTTTGATGATAACGTAAAATATCTCAAAAAAAACTTGCATCTGGCTGCTACTCTGTCAGCAGGAAAAACATCATATTTTTCATCAGTTGAGTATCATCTGAGATATAGTTTCGGTTTCAGGGGTTTCTGTAGTAAGCAGCTGATACAATCAGTGTTTGTTTTAAAAAATAATGCGATGAAATATATATTTAGAGCTAGAACCAAGCGTTTGGACCACTGTAGATCACTATTCATTAAGAGTAGAATATTAACAAATAATGAAAATAATCTTCTTTCCGAAAGAATTTACAGGGTGTAAGACATAAGTGTAAAACATTTAAGGGGGTGATTTCTCATCGAAAAAAAGATAGGATCTTTCATATAAAGGAATTTCATTGGGGCATCCCTTGTCAAGATACAGCCCCTTAAAGGGGGTACATAAAATTTGTATAACAATTTTTTTACAAGCACTAAAAAAGTTACAATATTGAAATTAACCTGACGTTTTGTACTACCAAAAAGACACTTAGCCAGAAATTTATTTGATTTACCCCATGGTTGTGAGGGGTGGAAAACGCAACCTCTAAAATTTATTTCCAATGTAACTTTTTGTCTTATTATTTGTTTACCATTTAAAAAGTTATTTCCTATAGTCTGTTTCATTCTAAACAAAAAATGTCTCTTGGGTTTTTTGCCCAAAATAAACCAGTTCGCAGCAAAAAGTTATTTTAGGAACAACTACAGAGATACATCGTTATAAATGCGAAAATACGAAACTAATCTATCTAGTAGGTCGCTATTGGCGATAGTGACAATTATATTGGTATGACGCTGTCAGTTTGTGAATTTTCGAAATTGAATTAATCCTAATTGTGTGTTGTTGTTCTGTTCTTAATTTGTCACTTTGATAATTCACTTGTTATTAAAGTGGCATACACAAATGAGGAAATGGCTGATATGCATTACGTTTACGGTCTGTCGCAGGAAATGGGTTAGAAGCTTCCAGAAGATATGCTGAAATGTATCCTCAACGGCAGCATCCTTCACATATAATATTTACTCGACTTCATCAACGATTACGAGAATATTGTTCATTCGACAAAAGGACGCAGGATTGTGGTCGCCATCGAGAAGTACGAACACCACAGCTTGAGGAAGCAGTACTTGATTTGATTGAAGCACAACCTACTACCAGTACTAGAAAGATTGCTTTCCAGCTAAATGTTAATCATATGACGGTATTTCGAATTTTATAAGAATAACTCTTATACCCTTACCATCTGCAACGAGTATAGGCACTGTTACCGCGAGACTTTCCGGACCGTCTGAAATTTTGCAATGGGATGCTGGAAATAATTAGAAGAAATTGTGACTTTCTGAAGACGTTAGAATTCACAGACGAATGTAGTTTTTCTCGGGACAAGATTATTAATTTTCACAATTACCACATATGGGCTGATGAAAACCCTCACGCTATTGTCAAAACTAACCATCAAGAACAGTTTTCTCCTAACGTGTGGCTCGGAGTTATTGGGAATGATTTGATTGGGCCTCCTTTTCTACCTCCTCGATTAAATGGTGAGGCATACGTTCAATTTTTAAGAGAAGTGCATCCAGTACTGCTGGAGGAAGTTCTTTTGGGCGTCAGAAGGGAAATACTTTTTATGCATGATGGGTCTCCCGCCCATTTTAGTCGAGTAGCACGTCAGCATTTAACTGACATATATGCAAATCAGTGGATAGGTCGAGAAGGACCACAGAACTGCTCAGTCCCCGGATCTCAATCCTCTCGATTTCTCTATTTGGGGTCATTTACAGCATTTGGTCTATCGTACTCCTGTTCGCGATGTAGAGGACTTACGAAACCGCATCATCGATGCGTGCAGGGTAATCAGAGAGACTGCAGGAATATTTGAGCGAATACGTGGCTCAATGCGCCGACGTCTAGACGCATGCGTAATGCCTGAAGGTAGACATATTGAACATTTACTATGATTTCCACATGTTGTGTGTTTTGTTATCAATAAATTAGTTTTGTTTATTACCCTGTAATTAATGCAGGTACTAACTACAAAATAACAATAAATCCAGTTCTCATTTATGACGATGTATCTCTGTAGTTGTTCGTAAAATAATTTTTTGCTGCGAACTGGTTTATTTTGGGCAAAAAACCCAAGAGATATTTTTTGTTTAGAATGAAACAGGCTATCGGAAATGAATTTTTAAATGGTAAACAAATAATAAGACAAAAAGTTACATTGGAAATAAATTTTAGGGATTGCGTTTTCCACCCCTTACAACCATGGGGTAAACCAAATAAATTACTGGCTAGGTGTCTTTTTGGTAGTACAAAACGTCAAGTTAATTTGTAACTTTTTCAGTGCTTGTGAAAAAAATTGTTATACAAATTTTATGTACCCCCTTTCAGGGGCTGTATCTTAACAAGGGATGCTCCATTGAAATTTCTTTATATGAAAGATCCTATCTTTTTTTTCGATGAGGAATCACCTCCTTAAATGTTTTACACTTATTCAGTTACACCCTGTATAACACCTGGGTCAAAATGCCAAAATACCTCTGCCAAAACCAACGTCAACATTACCCAAAAATTCCATAATATTTGAAAGTCGGAAGAAATCATCTACCATTTGAAATTTTAAAGTATTACAGACTCCAAAACCTTTCGAAAACATGTTTAGGAACTGTTCCTTACGAAAGCATATTAAAGCTTGGAAGAACATCTTGAAGACAGATTTTGAGTACCTGAACCTTTGACTGACTTATTTTATTCATACCTACATGTAAATCAATTCCTAACTGCTTTGTAGAACCTTATGTCCTGTCTACAAATATAAGCGTTACACCTTTTATTGTTCCATTTTCACTTCAATTACTTCACTGTGAATCGACTGATTTATTTTATTTATTCTTCGTCAGAGTAAGATTTTTTTTCGTCGACAATAAAGTACATTTTTGATTGATTTGATTGAAAGCTAAATTATTTTGTTTAACATTAAGTAGCAGTGATTTTAGAATTACGAACACGAATTTCCTTCTGAACATGAAATTATTCCAAATTCTAGCACTACTGATACAGCTTCTTTAATTTGCAGAAATTTTACACTGATATTTTTCAGGTAATAATTACGTCCGTCACGACCGCCAAGGACAGCATACCTCCGTCGAACCACCCGCCTTCCGCGTATCGTTACCCGCAATACCCCGCCGCCCCGCCAGGTTACCCTTATTCCTCCTACCCCCCTCCTTATCACTACCCTAACCCTCCACCTCCGAACCCTTCGTACGCTCATCATGATCTGTGTTACTCGCCTAATCCGTACGTTCACAAGTACTCTCCGTACAGAAGTAGGTACGTCGCCAGCACGCAGTACTACCCTCCTCCAAACCCCCAAGAGATTTACGGCATACCACCTAGCGGACCTTCTCAGCCGAGTCAACAGGTCAGTCAAACAAATTTTCGTTTTTCGTAAAAAAAATCGTGTATCCGTTTACGAGTACAGTGATGTCGCCTTCAAATTTTATCCGTCATTAAGTATTATATTCCAGTGCCGATAATTTTTGAAACCCATTGGAAAAAAAAAGAAAATATGACAAAAATGGAAGGAAAATAATTTACGGGCGATTTGAGGATGTCGGGAACTACTAGTCCTACGAAAAAAAGTGGAATGACAAAGTTGTTCGAATTTTCAATCGAAAATTCCCACATCAAAATATCTGTTTTTTTTTATTCGGTATGCTTGTTGTTCGTTGAAATCTCTACTTTTCGATGGTGTGAAAAAATATAAATTATTGTGGCAAATCTCAGAAGATGCAATAAAACAAAAAAGCTCGAATCCGATTTTTTTATCATTATCTAAAACTTAGAGCTGTTTATAAAAATGTTCACTTTAATTAGGTACTTGAAAAATGTAAAATTCCATGTTATATTGATGAACAAAATAATTTCATATCCATGAAACACAGAGATTGCAAAAACATGCAAAAATAGTTCATTTTTTAAATATTAAAGATACGATTTAAAGAGGATTTTTTGTAAAAAATGTGACTGTTGCAATTTTTTTCAATATAATAGCTGATTCATTAATTCCTAAATGAATTTATGTCACAGATTATTATGCTTGAAATGGTAAATGGAATTTAAATACTTTATACCGATTAAGTTATTCATTACAATATTTTAAATACAATAACCTTGTTATTTACATATACCTTATCTTGAATTCTAATCACTTACCCATTAGTTTTTGTCTCTTTGATGGCCTTATTCATCGTTAGATTCGACAAACTATTCCGATTCTAGTAGATCGTCGAAATCTTCAAGGCCGTCTTCGTCTCCAATATTTTTTTCAGTATGCATTGGTTCTTCATCTATAATTTCATGTGAATCATTAACTTCTTCGTAGGTTTTTTTCTTCAACATTCGAGCATTTTTCAGAATAATGACAATTTGAGCATAAATTTGTGCATTTCAAACCATGTTTTCGGAAGCCACATTTTAGACTGTTACATCCAGTTTCACAGGTGCAGCAAATAGTATTGTGCAAAATTTCCCCGGTTTGTTCCTTTTCTGTAAATTTGGGCATGACGCCACGTTAATGTTGTTTCCAGACCCAATTTATTGATATTTCACATTTCCAGAAAGTGGCTTGAGAAAGTAACTGTCAATTGATTCAAAACTACCAAAATCCGGGTTTTTTTTGTTGCTTCACATAAATTATCAGCGAATTCTCTGATTGTGATTCAGCAATCGTTCGTAATAAACTATTTCACTTTTTCCACGTTACCATCGGTTGTTGATATGCTGAGGCATTGTCATTTTCAACATCTTCACGGCCATCTTGGAAACGCGTTTAACACTCACATATCCCTTTGTTAACATTCCACACACTTTGTTAACACTTTAGTAAATTTTTAACGCAAAATTCGATACAAATTCTTTGACCCATTTCTTTTGACAAACGAAAATCGCCGAGCTCTTGAAAAATGTCTAATCTCAGCGGCTAATTCAAACAAAGTAAACAATGACTGCAACTGAGAATTTTGTCATACTTCAACATAATGAAAAAATTGACGATCGAACTCTTCAATCCCGGGAAATTTAAAAATTCCCGTTATTTTCTGAACATATCTTATTTTGGAGTTTTGTTGTATTGTGTAAAGATTTTTTTATTTGTTTCAATTTTTACACGGATTGAGTATGACAAAAATATCATAGGGGACCTGTCAATGTTGATTCAATTATATTATTAATACATATACAGTGGCGACGCAAAATGTCGTCCCCCTCTAATGTATGGGACAAAATATCATGGTAGTACTTTATGATAAGAGAGACTGTAGACATTTGATAGACATTTCAATTTTCTGTCCGGCACCGAGTCATTTTTTTAAATCGGATCAGCCTTTTCTGAGTAATTACCAGTTTTATATTCGTTTCAAGAATATGCAAACAAAATATAATAATAATTTCAAAAAAATATATTCAAATATCACTCTCGTTTATTCCAATAAATGTACTACACCAGGACGAAATATTGCCTCTCGGCGCGCGTTTCGCTAGTGTCATCAGTTTTAGTCATCTGATGGTGCTAATTCGGTGAACGAAACAGGTATCGAGACAGTATTTTGTTCTGGCGCGTAAAAAGTATTTTGATATATTCATTTTACGCTAGAGGTTCCGAATAACTTCCTTTCAACAATGAAATCTGTTAACAAATTAATTTATCTCATTTTGAAATGTTTCTGTGATAATTTTGTTGCAAGCATCTATTTTTGAATCCACGAGTTCTCAAATGAATTGCGTCGTATACTTTAGATATCACATATCCCTTCAAAAATATTGAGAGGCGTCAGATGAGGTGAGCTAGTGGGCCATTCTAAGGGACTGCGTCTGCACATCTATTGGTTGGGATAATTGACAAATCTGGACGAGTTTTCAACTGATGTTACGTTTCAGCAACATGATATACCTCTTCATTACGACAGGCGTATTCCAAAGTGGTTATCGAAACAGATGTATAGGTAAAAGTGGTCCTTTAGAATGGGTCGCCATCGATTTTTTTGTTTTTTCGGGATGAGGCAAAGGGTGGGTTGTTTTTCAGGTTTTCATTCCGTGTTTTGTGTTTTTGGTCCTTACAAGGATCATATTCACGACGTTTCAGCAAAGTCTCACTTGCCATCTTCTGGCGATGTCTGGCGAACTAGACTAGTCTAGGTCCAAAATCCAGATATCACCAGAAGACGGATTATGTACCTAAACTAGTCTAGGTCCAAGAAGATAAAATATTTTCAAAGCTTTCCCGGACTAACCTTTAGAGAGGTTGATAAATTTCAACAGTCATCACTTTCTTTTCAAACTCTAACAATTATGATAAAAATGTTATGCATTTTTTATTAGATTCGAAACAAACCTTATTTTTAATAAATGTATTTAATATCTTCATTATATTGAATACATTTTTAGTCCAGTCATCTGGACTACCCAGCTGAGTATCTCAAATTCGGAAACACTTAACTCTTAGTTTGACTAAGATGACTGGATCATTTGCTTAATGAGCTTGTTTCATGCTATGGAAAATGATAGTGGTTTGCTTATAGACTGATCGAGTTAGGGGTATATTATACTCATCAAGTCTAATCGGTCCCAAAATCTCTTTATATTTGCAGAAAAAAGATTAATTCGAAAAGCAAGAATTTAAATTGGCCGCGTGTCTGTTGACCAATAAAATTGATCGTGTCTAGAACGGAGTTGCCAAGTGTATTTGTGTTTAATATCCAATCACAGATCTGATGATCCAATTTGACAGACGCCATTTTTGTTGTTATTGTTGTCAACTCGGTGTGAATACAACTGTTACAATTATATAAATACAGAACGTTTTTTTTGTAAAAGGTAGGTCTCGGCGGGTACTTACTTTACTGCATATTCCATTTCATTAGTTTACATTTCGAAAAATATTTTTTCAGGTTATTTTTGGATTGATATGTTCTGGAGTAATTCTACATTTCACTGTACATAGTTTTGCTTCTCTTTTCAGTCACCATACTGCTCCTTGGCCGAGATAAAATAAAAATTAAATCAAAACTTTCCATCCATCATATAAATAAAAGGGACCTACTAAATATAGCACCTACCGTTTCAATTTTTCATTCATCATTTCGGTACCAAATGCAAATTTTTCAAGTAAAATTCATCGATCATTTCAAAATCGACTCTTGGTAAGATGTCGGGAGTCAGCTTTAACAAAACTGGGCTCAACATTCATTTTGAAATTATTTTAACAAAAATACGAAGTTTGTGGAAACCATTGACATTAGAAAGAGCACATTATCGCATTCACTACAGATGGCGCTGGCTGACTGGATGACAATATGGCTAATATACCAGTAACGTTGAATTTCTTATTTTTGGTGGGTAGCATGAATACATAATTGATTTATTTTATTAGGGTTCATGAGCATTCGAAAACCATTTGAAAATACAGCTCGTTTAATTGTATTTAGAATCATATTCAGGTATAACTTGAACTATATCAGTAATCAAGGCAAATATTATTGTCCATTTTCATGCTTAATTCGTGGATTCGAGCGATGCTATTATTGCATATTCATTTGTTTGCTGGCTTCATTCTAAAAAATAATGAATGAATAATTACAGAAAATTTTAATTGATCGTTCATTTTCTCAGAAAAATGGAGTACCCATATAACAATTTATTGGTTTAATCGGCATTGAAAATGTATCTCATATTGGATCCATTCTGCTTATTTTTGCCACATTGAGTTTCAACTTTTTCTCAACTGACAGCTCGCGTAGGAACAATTCGTTTTTTCATCTAGTTCAGTTTGTGTGTGTCTTAAAAGTGTTTTAGAGATACATTTGAATATCAATATGGTGCATTCTTGTGCTGATTTTAATTGTGCGGAAAGGCACAAAAAAACAAAGCGCATTGGTTTATAAGTGAGTTATTTCATATAATGAGTTTAGGTTCCCAAAGGATAAAATGATGAGAAAAAAAAAAGAACTACAATCCTTCTTCTCTTCCAAGACTTTATAGAAATCATTTAAAAAGTGACTATAAATGAAAGGGAGACGAAAATATTGAATTTAATGATACAGTTTTTTATTTCAACTTCAAGTATTCTCCACAGAAAGTATTATCTGGAGTTAATACTGTCGCTGAAAGTATAATACACTTTACTTCATTAAATTTTATCATATGATTAATGGTATTACCTCAGAAGCTTTTGTTGGATCAGTTCGAGTACAATCAATTCGTCTATACTTGACCTTATTCAACCTTCCTCTCAAGTTTTGGAAGATTCAACAGGTTACCCAAGCGAGCCTATAACGCTTGAATTTAGTAGCTATATTAGAAAGAGGTATGTATGTAGGAATGGTTTTTTTTGTAATAAATTGCAGTTGTACAGATTGACGATTGTAGAGTAAATTGAAGATTTGAAATGATTCTTTAATCCAGTTTGCAATATTTTTTGATTTCCCTAACTGTATATTATTAAATAATGCATATAATCATAGTTTAGGTAAATATTTTGTGATCTATCGACTTTGTGTACTGACTTTAGATATAGAACTTATTTCCAAACATGATTTTTCGTGTACATTTTATTCCATGTGGAGAATTTTTCATTAATTGAAACGTTAACGGGTTCATATACACTTCCATAATCAAATTGATAATTATAGGCTCCGTAAATTTTACGATTTGGCAATGTTGATTATTTCTATTGTTTCTATTGGTCAATCGAACAAGAAGCGGGAATAGGGTCGTGACATCACCACCCTACCACATTCGATTTTCAATAATTAATTACGGGAAAACTACGGTATTTAGAGAGATGAAACAAAGTGCACTGTTTTTCAATTTGAAATTTCTATCAAGTGAACTATAAACCAAAAATCATGAAACAAGTATTCAGGTGAATTTGAAATTATTTTTTCTGTTATGCAGGTGGTCACCGCAACACCGGTCTCGGCTAGCGCTACAGGTTATCCTCCGGCCCCCGGAGGCCCGCCGCCCCCGACGATCATGGAACCGTACCCCGCCCCGCAGCCTTCGCTCGTAGAAACGTATCAGCCGCCCCCGCCACACTACTACCCCGCCGCCTACGGCCCGGCGCCATCCTGTTACACACATTCGCCCTCCAGGGCCATACCTTACATAAGTAAGTGACGGCTCAATTTGTATTGAGATTCACTGCTGATTTGTTTTGTTCATCGGTTCGACTCTGTAATGAAACAGGTGAAAGGGGCCATTGAGGGAGTTTAATGAATTCGTTGGATTGGGAGAACTTAATACACATACAGTGTCTAAAAGCCAAATGGAATAAATTAATTATTTTGGATACGGTACATATTTCAACAAAATCCTGAAACACGTCAAATTCAAATTATAATTTGACAGCTGATTAACAAAAAAACAGATTTTTAAACATACTTCAACGGAAAAATGCTACCCCTACCTTCAACTCCTGCCGAATGACAGGCACAAACCCCAATTTTTCAAATAGGAAGCATAGGTTTGTGAGATATCGTTTGAAAGTTCTCTTTATTCTCTATTCAAAAATGTTATCGCTTTCAAGTATAACTCCATTTTAATTTAAACTTGTTGTCGTGCGTTTTGAATGTTAGTGTTATAGGCACGGCAGCTCTGGTGTTAGAAAGCGAGGCATGGGTTCATTAAAATGTGGGTGCTCTTCGAAAGGGCGCCACTCTATTTACAGACAAAAACAGAAATAACAAAAATTATTGAAAGACCTGTTGAACTGTATGGTTATATAATGAGGTACCAACAATAAAAATGTATGTACTCTTATACCACTACTTCCTTTAAGGGATATTTCAATGATTTACTTTCTATTGATTTGTACTTTTCATTTGAAATCTTCCTAAGTTATTTTACATCCCCCTTATATTGGCCAATACATGAGTTCACATGTTAATTTCTTTTAATATCATATTGCTGATGATTATATATTTTACAATTTAAATGTTGAGTGGTAAGTATTATCTTCTCTTAATATAAATAATTATTTGGATCCTGGAGTTATAATTAATGGATAGATTTAACCTTCTCTCCAGGGCTAACGTCCAGAATTATAAGTCCTGATGTTAAAGCTTGTTGCTTTATTGGGAATCATTGAATCCTCTTGACTGAGCTGACAATGGACCAGCAGGAATACTGAGTAACTGGTCTCTAAATGTAACCATCTACATTGATTGTAAACCAAAATCCCATGTACATTGATAGTAGGTAAACCAAAATCCCATCTACACCTCATGGGCCTAACATAATGGCAAATAGCGTACCCTCCTCACAAATCAGGAAAGAAATTTAGGTATCTTAAACCTTAAATCATCTCTAAAAAAGCCAACCGATCTGCAAGTGTAACTGTTAGAAAAGTGAAATATCAATATCCAAAAAGGAAAGGCCTTTTATGTCGATATTGATTAGAAATCAAATCAGGAGTTGCCACACAGCCTTCCTCGTGAAATCTCACCTCGGAAAAAAAAGCCTTTTTCAAATCTGACCGGACTTATTAATTTACTATTATAAAAAAAACAATTGAAATCTAAATTTGCTTTTAGCGCATCTCGGAAATCGAATGAAGGTCATGGCCTGTCGTAAGACAGGCCACCTGTTGAATTGTGTCTATCCTAACCAACTGATGGTAATTACGTTTGAAATGACTAATTGTGACATGCAATGAAGAATTTATATGAGGAAAATATCTCAATAATACACTTCTTAGGAAATATATCATCCTCTAATTGTTTAGCATAACAAAGCATCATGAGGTTAGATGTTAGTAACAACAAAGCGTACCTGGGTATAATGGTAACATTCTGTTGGACGGAATCTAACTTTGATTCATCTGACATCAAAAGGTAAATAAATGCATCTAACCTTCAACAATGTTTATGATTGAAATGTAAAGTGGAATTCGAAGCTTAGGAATTATGCAAAGACAATTATAATGTTCCTGATGAATTATATAGAAGACACATAATTGAGGATGTTTGTTATGCTAAAAACTTGACAGAAAACAGAAATGCACAACTCATCTCAATATATAATGTTATGAATGCTGCATAAGTTTTTTTATTTGAAGTTTCAAATTGTTACACACTTTCAGGTATCATTCAGAATATTTACTTGTTATTTTGAAAAGTCATTTTTAACGTTATACAAGTTTACTGCAATAATCAAGATAAAATAAATTAAAATCATGTGGTTACCGAAATTCGATAAAATACACTCAAAACTTATTGCAATATACTCATAACTTATTTCATGTTGAGGTATTGATAATGAGAAAGTAAGCAAAATCATAGCAATTTTCTTTTTAGATGGTACTCTTAAAAAAACTGTAAATAATTTCCGTGGCAACGTTAGTTTAAACCGCCTTGTCAACTTGTTTTTGTATATTACAACATTAGTTGTCAGTATTTTAATTTAAGTTCGTTGACTTCAAGTCTGATAAATGGTTAGATTAACGGAATTGCATGAAATAACAGTTTTACAAATGATTGGTTTTGGAGATAAAACCTGAACACAACAAGAAGTAGCTCGCCTATTTCATGAGAAATTTCCTAATTTACCGCCCATATCTTAAGGAACAATAAGCAAAATAAAGAAGCAGTTTCGCGAGCTTGGTCCTGTGGGGCAGATAAAAATGCAGCTGCCAATGCAGCTGGATTTTTGAGTCATGAACTGAAATTAGATGTGATGCTTGGGTTTGATACATCGTTACATACATCCACTACATTCAATGTTGGCCATACATCGATAGTAAACATATTAAAATAAAATAAAATGCATCTCTTTAAAATGATACCTACTCAGGAGCTCATTGAAGACGATTTTGACGATGGATATGTTGGATAACAAAATCATCCTATTTGAAGACGTTATGTTTTTTGATGAGTGTACTTTGTCTCTCGGTGAAATTGCGGCTACTGGTCAACGATAAATCCTCACTGGATAAGAAGAACACACGCAATACCCTCAAAAGGTTAATGTTTGTGCAGGGATTGTAGGAAACCATATCATTGATTCCTTTTTCATTGAGGGCAACTTGAATGGCAATAATTATTTGGAACTACTTCAAAATGATGTCATTCCAAGTTTAGCAAATTTATATCTTGATCCAGGAAACCCTCAAGTTCCAGTGAATACGATATGGTTTCAGCAGGATGGAGCACCACCACATTACCAAGGTAATGTCCGGCAATACCTCGATACAACATTTCCCAATCGGTGAATAGGGAGGCGAGGATCGATTGAATGGCCAGCGCGATCACCTGATCTTTCATCATTAGATTTCTTCTTATGGGTATATGTAAAGAGCAATGTGTACAAAACTAAACCTTCAGATTTTAATGACTCAAAAGAACGAATAACGCATGCGATTAGGTCGGTCACGCCTGATATGTTAAATAATACTAGAAGACGGTTTATTTGAGATTAGGATGTTGCCAAGACGTTCGCGGTGAACATTTTGAACGCAAAGACGTTCGATACTGTGTCACATGAAATCCTACTCCAAAAATTGTGTAATTATGGTATTAGAGGTCATGCTCTGCAGCTAATGCAGAATTATTTAAAAGAACGGACTCAAACTGTTAAAATTGGTAGCAAGCTCAGTACAACATTACAAATCAATGTTGGTATGCCCCAGGGTACAGTACTTGACCCGATTCTTTTTCTTGTTTACATAAACGCAATTACACAAATTAATGAATTTCACGGTCATATAGTGTGTTATGCTGATGATACGGCCTTGATCTTCACTGGTGAAAGTTAGGATACAGTCTATGAAACTGCTGAAATCAATGTGAGAAAAATTAAAAATGTTTATTTTATTTTTTTCTCTTTCTCACTGATCGTATTACCATGGATTATTATAATATTGTCATATTTTTATTATTTTATAAAATGTACTTACGGAGCTCTTATCTTGGTGAGTATCAGATCACAATACAGGCATTTCAATGTCTAGGTGAAAGTTACTCATTCAAGATAATTGAAATTTATTAATTATGTATGTCATACAACAAATTGTATATTAACATGGAATAAATAAATTTGATTGATTTGATTTGATCTACTTCGTTAACATCCATAGTACTTTTTGTAGTCTACATTTCATTACGTTTTGCATTACATTTTAGTTTTTAAGTGTATTTTATCGAATTTCGGTAACCACAAAATTTCATCTTAATTGTTGCAATGAACTTGAAAGCGATAAAATTTTTGAATAGAGAATGAAGAGACCCTTCAAACGATATATCACAGACCTATACTTCCCATTTAAAAAATGGGGGGTTGTACCTGTCATTCGAAAGGAGTTAAAGGTAGGGGTGGCACTTTTACGTTGAAGAATGTAAAATTACAATTCACATTTGACGTGTTTCAGGATTTTTTAAAAATATGTACAGTAACCGAAATAATGAATTTATTCCATTTGGCTTTTATACACTGTATAATAGAATAATGCATAGTACACACTTAAATCAAGTGGAAGCCGTTACAACGGTTCATGTGCATATCATAATTTTTCCAATAGCAACCCAAATTTTCTTTACTTCCTACTTTTCACAAAAAAAGTTGTGAGAAATATTCAAGGGAGGCGTTCAAGTTCAAAATTACCTTTTCACAAAGATGTGTAGATCATGCATTGGAGTTACTTTCACACAAACTTTTTTTGTATAAAGATGGGAAAGTATTTTTTCCAAATAATACTCTCTCCTACTAATGTACCCCTTTCAATTCAAACAAGATTCCTTTGACTGGGATTGAATCAAATAAGCACACGAATGTACTTCATCAGTACTTCATCTTTTAATATCATCCAGAATGGTGCTGATGAGGTAATAAGACAAGTGTCTTATTCCGAAACTTTGAAGTCCGTCATTAAGGATTAACGTTACTTTTTCCTAAAATGAAATATCATAACCTATGAACAATATGCATGCATTTTTTTCAGCAACTTTAAGCTGCGGTTTTCTTGCTACAATTGCGATACCGGGTTGATCACTGTCATCGTTTTCATGCTTTTTTATTCCCTCTCAACTGAAGGAATCATCACAGCAGAGGGGGAAGTCAAATCAAACGCTATCTGCTGAAATGATTATCAGAATTGTTCGCATTATCAATGTTATTCGTAACGTTTTTTGGAGTAGTTAATTCTAATTATTCAATTATGCCTTGATAGACCACAATACGTTTTTTTGAATAATAAGGCATCTGACGCCAAAGACATAAAAAACGGAGTCTACCAAGGTTCGGTTTTGGGACCAATTCTATACTTGATTTATGTGATTGATTTCAAAACTGAAGATGACTCTGAGATTACGCAATTTGTTGACGACGACACATCATTAACGCTCCAAAATACAAATTACGAAGTTATAGTTGAAGAAATGAAAGTAGCAGAATCGAATGCTAATAGATGGCTGACAAATAACTAACTAATAAAACGCAACATTACTTTTTTACACACAAACAACTGCCTATAGACCAAAATGAATCGATTAAATTTCTTGGATTCCAAATAGATCCAAAGCTCCCTTGGGAAAAACATGCAGATTTTGTTTGCAAAAAATTGGCAACCAGCATTTATATTATAAGAAGTTTAATGGGCATCTCATCTATTGAAACCATTATCACTGCTTATCATTCACTTTTTATGTCCCCCTGGAAAACGCTTTTTATAGTATCAAATTATCTAAGAACAATTCGTTCAGGCCAGTCTCAACACCCTACACAGTAGGTTAATGGACTGACACCTATCAGAAAACAATTACTCCCCTGGCTAATACCACGAAGGGCGTTGGATTATATCCGACAGGTGTCAGAGCAGGATTCTTCACTAAATTTATTCCTGCATATGCTGTTGGTGATACAACTGCCGCAATAGATTTTCATTTATTGGAACACACTTGCAGACCGGTTTCGGGCTGTTTGGCCACTCGTCAGTGCAAGGTAGTGTATATTATCAACATAAACTCGATGATTTACGATAATTGAAAATTGAATTCCGTCAGAGTATCGTTCCTCGAACTAAGCTGAAGCATACAACAAACAACAGGTTTGTTGTCGCCCCATCTGCCTGTGAACGAGGTATATCCGAGGTATATCCTGCCTGCATATCCGAAATTTCCCAATTCCTCGTATAAGGAAAGAAAACTTTCACATATAGTCAGTGGGCATACTTGAAGACTGGCTATAAATTGATTTATAGCCAGTCTTCAAGTGAGCCCACTGACTATATGTGAAAGTTTTATAATATCGACGAATTCTTATCATTTGACTTCAACACCAACTAATATTTTGAATTTACAATCTACGTATAGTCCGTTCATAATTTGTCGATAGCACAAAATGATGGCTCAAGTCATGATACGGTCGTAAAACTCGTAAAATCATAGGCGGAGGTTCCTGAGGTGTTTATTCATTAAATATAAAGCTTCAGTTTATATTCGAAACTTGCCTTGAAAGGGTGAAGTTGTTACGAACGAAAATAATTTTTGGTTTAGTACATTTTTTAATCGCATTTAATTTACGGCTCGTTGGTGTTTCGGCGTCTACGGCAGTAATTAACGTCTCTAATATNCCACTCAAAATACCTACATAATCGGATTAAAAGTTTTATAGCTGTATTGTATTTCTTCAGATACAAGGTGGGTTAGTCGAAAACATCTTAAACTGCCAGTTTTAGTTTGGTTTTTGTTATTATATCATATTAGCTGTCCTCTCTGTATTTCAGTTCTCTAATGAGGGTCAAACTTGCAGTGAGCTATCAACAAATTATGAACGGACTATAGACAGTGATATTTATATTGAAATTGTTCACATCTCATTTCCTTATTTGTTTTTTTTATTCATTTAGTGTTTTTATGGTATTATTATGGTATGTGATATTTGACAAAACCTTATATTACTATTGATTTTTTTTTGGGAATAAAGGATATTCTATTCTATTCTAAATATACCGCAGATTTTTTTGAATAATAACATCATCAATGATGCACGGCCCAACCTATCATTTTTATTGTTTCTCTACAGTTTCTGCCAATTGTCCTTTTTATTTAGTAACACTGAAAACCTCTTCTTCATTAAATTGATAGTAAACATTATTATTATACGACCTTTTAAGAAAATTCTCCAAAGCTTTCCTCTCATTTCCAGATGCCACATATCAGAATTGCCCTTGTCCAATGCAGTCGTGTCCAAAAAACGTACTTACTGGGCCTCTTACTGGTGATGGTAAGAGGTCTAACATCTCTTCCATCTCGAAAGATTTGATGCCATTACCACCAGTCGCCTTGGCTCTACCCTTCGAACCAACCAGCGCCACCGGTCCTCCAAGCCCGGCCAGAGGTTCTGCGGGAATGCCTCCACCTCCCTCGGCTTCGCCTGCAGGTGCCACCTATCAACCTCCCCCGCCACCCACAAAACAAGAATCTCGCTCCCCGATAGTGCTGGAAGACTGCAAAATCGAGAAGAAAAGGAAAGCTAGAGTCGGAAAAGCCATGGTAAGAAACAACATAGCAGCCAACATGCAAAACACCATGTTATTGATGTGCAACCCCACCCAGAACTACGTGGGTGCAGTTAAGAGAGAGATAGAAAGTCCGCAGGAGAAAGAACTCGTAGAGCAAAAGAAAGAGATCTGTACGTCTGATGAAGACACGAAACCAGTCCCAGAAGTTTTGTCATTACCCTGCCCCAAAATCGAGGAACCCGAGAAAGAGGAACCACAGTTGATCCCGCCAATAGAACTAAAGGAAGAACAAGATCGCGATGATTTGGAAAGAGACGGGAAGAATGATGCAGCATTGCAGAAAGATGAGGAGGAAGTCCTGCAACCGGTGATCAGCACGGTGGCAGAAAACGTGAAAGTTAAAAATATGAAAAGAACACTCTCAATGTCTAAAGAAAAAGTACCTGATTCAGAAGTCGCGCCTCCTTCCACCAAGAAACAGAAACTTGGTTCCTACAAGTGTTTGATAAAAAAGGAATCCAACGCTGTTAGGATTCATAATGGTAAGCGAAGACTAATCGAAGAAACACCAACGGGACAGGTGCAAACAAGAACGAAAATCAAGGACAGCAACCTGGTTAAGAGGAAGCGAAGTGAAATTAAGGAAGTGGTAGCAAAGCGCCCCAGACTGTCCAAACCGCTCATGATGAACAACTTTGCATCTAAATCAAAAGAAAAAATCCTCGCCGATGAAACTAAAGAACATCCCAAAATCAAAGCCAGCAAAAAACCCAAAGTCAATTCTAAAGGTGCCGTCACCAAATCAGCTCCAGCAGTACTGGACAATCTGTTCGCGAAAAATAACGTCGAAAGGATAATCGAAAGTGTCGTTAGTGAAGGCTCGATTAGGACAACAGAAGATATTGGTGTCGTGAAACCTGTGGAGAGATGTGGCAAATCAGCGAAAGAGGCTGTTGTGAATAAGAAGGGTTTGAATAACAAAATCGCGGCAAGTAAAGTGAGAGGTGAAATTAACAAAAAAGTTGGAGCAAACAGAAGAAAATCTAAGTGCAAAGAAGAGGTCATTCCACAGGTCATCTCTAAGTTACCCAGGAGGTCATTACAATCACCGAGATGGTCCAATGGATGGATTTGGGAGGGTGAACCTTACGACGCGAAAGTATTCATAAACGTGAGTAGAATATTTATGAATATGACAAGTTACTGACTGATTCAGACTCTTCAGTGGTTTACATTATACAGTAATTTTGCAGCGTACCCTTTATAACACTCCAGCAGATTTTTTAGTTTTCCATATTGTGAAAGGTTTGAAAATTTTCAGTCAAATTCTCAGAAGAATATTGATGTTACTAATATTTTCTGAAAAAAGTTTGATTGGGTAACAGGATCAACTTTTTCTTAAAAACAATTGTTTTATTGCCGACGTTTCGAATATGATTAAATTCTTCTTCAGGGCTCTGTAACGATGAATTTTCATAAACATACCTTCCACAAAACTTAAACGATTATTATCGTTTCAATTTCACAAGAAATAATGAGTTCTTATCTTATATCACATACAGCAGGTCCAAGTTCTAATGCCTCGGGATTTTCACCCAAAATTAATGTTTTGCAGGTGGTTGATTCATACGATGTCACACAATAATAAATTCTTACCAAATATTTTATTTACGAACGAAGCAAATTTTTCACGAGATGCTGTTATGAACTTTCTCTATGACCATTTTTGAGTCAACGAAAATCCCCATTTTCAGCAAAAACTTTCGCTGAACATTTGAGTAGGAATGCTCGGTAACTACCAAATTGGTACCAGCAAGATTAACAGGTGAATACTTACTACACGGACTTTTTGCGAGATCATTTACCCATTTTGTTAGAAGAAGTACCGGTACTTCTAAGAGGCAACATGTGGTTTATGCGCGACAGGGCTCCAGCTCCTTTTAGTGTTTTTGCTCATTAGCATCTCGAGATCACCTACCCTAATCGCTGGATTGGACGTACCGGACCTCAAAAATGTCCAGCTCGCAGTCTTGATATGAATCCTCTAGATTTCTATTTTTGGGATTATCCGAAGGGTCTTGTTTATAATGTCCAATCCATTGTATAATAGGAAAACGGATTTAATAAAATTTGATTTGATTTGTGAATGACTTGAGGAATCGAATAATTGGCAATTGTAATGTCATAAGGAATACTCTAGGTATTTTTGAACGTGTCAGTGTCAGTTTTCAAAATTGATCTTTTTTTCTTGAAGACGATGCTTGGTATGAAAAAAATACTACACAAAAAGTCAGTGGCGTTTCTCTTTTTTTCTCAATATTGTCGACTGTGGTGCCCACGGGGACGCCACTGGACCTAATAATTCCAATCTAGTTCTGGCTAAATAAGCGCCTTATTACTTCAAATAACTAGCAAATTTCAACGAAATGGGTGTAAGGATATTTAAGTATGATATTTTATAAATACTGTTTTTTTTTTAACTTCAACGCCCTGTATATCAGACACGAAGCAACTCTGAACATATGTTCATTGGAACTTTTTTCTTGAAACGACCTAATGAATCACCCACTGAAGTTTCGTAACATAGGTAGGAAATAACCTGTATAACTGTTCCAAAGAAAATAATCAGTGATCTATGTTCTTGTTGAAGATGTTAAAAATTGGGTATATTATGCTATATCGAAAAGGCCTGTTCATTTTTCTAATTATTAACATTAGGTGTCAGTATTTGATTCAAAAGGACTAGATCCATGGTGGTCAAATTGCGGCCCGCGGATCCATGAAGAATTAGTTGGACCAGAACAAATTACGACTTTTACGGCTGGAAATAACTGTGTCAAAGCTATTTTCCGGGTTTTTGACTGTGTTCTGCAGGTTTTTATGCCTGACGTTTCGTCTACTTCTGCGGTACACTCAAGCACTTTAACCGTTACCTCATCGCCTTTGATAATGCCTTCCGCAGGAGTAGACGAAGCTAAAGGCACGAAATCTGCGGACCACGACCAAAAAACCCGAAAAATTGCCTTGTCATTGACATTCTGTCAATGTAGAAGCGTTCAGGTCCCAATCATACAATATCTCAAATCAAATTGTTAAATTTTTTTTCAGAGCGACGAGACAACACTAATCAGAAAATGTTATCCAGCTATGAGACACAAGGCAGGAGATAAAATCGTTCCCAGGGATTGTGTTCTTTTGAAAGCTGGGCCAAGAAAGAACGACCTACCATTCGTGGCAAAGATCGCCTCACTCTGGGAAAATCCAGAAGACGGTAAGCTTGTTTTCAACGTTATCGATTTGTACACTTACGAACTCACAAAACTGTCTGTAGGTGAAATGATGATGTCGCTGCTGTGGTATTATCGGCCGGAACACACAGAGCAAGGGAGGTTACCAACAGACCAGCCTGACGAGGTTTTCGCTTCCAGACATAAGGATTCAAACAGTGTGGCTTGCATTGATGACAAGTGCTATGTGCTGACATTCAATGAATATTGCAGGTGAGAAAAGCACAGTTACATTTCTTCTGGATTTGATTAGGCCAAACTTTCAATGATCAAAAAGGTTCCTAATCACAATAGTATTCATATGATTCGTCACCAGCAAATCTGATTACCGTTGACGTCATTCCTGAGCGATGCTAATGCGACGGTTTTTTTGTTAAAATTCAGCCACACGCTTCATGCCCAAAATTTCCGAAAAAATTGCATGGTATGAGCCAACCGATATGCGGACCTACAGCAACTTCTCTAATAGTTATTCGACAATTCTCTATAACAATTTTCTTCACTAACTCAACGTTTTCATCGGTTGTTGATGTGCAATGCGCCTAGTGCGAGCGTCGTCATTCAAATCTTCTCAACTTCCTGTAAAAAGCTTGTACCACTTGTAAAAAAAAATCTGGCTCAGAGTACAATCACCGTATGCCACTGTCAACATTTAAAGTGTTATTCGAGGACTCAATTCCAATTTTTTCACACAAAATTCGAAGCAAATTCTTCGATCCATTTTTTCGATAGCAGAAAATCGCCGAATACGCAAAACACTTACATCTTTCCTCACCTACAAATTATACATGCTAAACAGCTGAAAACTGAAACATATCACTAATTGAATGGATGTAGTCGCGAAATTTGAACATTTACCTCATTTCATCAGTCAAATTTTCATAGTTCTTATTAGATACATCTTTTTACCGCAGATTCGGACAAAAGAGGAACTGAAAATGATAGAATTTGAGTTTTTGAAATATTTGAATTCAACCATATACTCTTTTCTCAATATCAAATATTTTTGAAGTTATGCTGTTTTTGGAGCGTTAGGATGCGATGCGCGCGCGTACACTGTCACGAAAAACGAACACACTGAAGTTAGCTTCTTCTTTAATTTTTATGGCTGTTCCTTCTCAGTCGAGCGCATTTGGCCAGACTCCTCCTGACCATAGTGAACAGAAGCTTCGTCTAGGGGCGCAGCTGTCTTGCTCGAGGCAATGCTAAATGTTCTCATTCAATTTTTTTTTATAAAAATACTATAAGTTAGCTTGTCAACAATGTAATTTTTAAAAAATCCAACACAATAAGAGTAAAGACATGTCTATGAATGTTTGCGTGAGAACTGGCAACTGTATTCACGATAATTATTCAAATGTTTTTTACTAGACGATTCCAGTACCGCTATTCAGTGTTGCCATTATAAAATTTCCATTTCTGAATCGACTGACATTTTCTAGGCCTTTTTTGGAATAATTCTTGTCGGAACAGATATAATTTGTAATTTTATAGATTCCTGGATGTTCCCGGATATATGCATCGAAGTATTGAAGTTGAAATGGACAAAAATAAAAAATCCTAGGGAATTTCACTTTTTAGATTGTTTAATTGTTCGAAACCTGTAACCTATATATGTAACATAGGATTTCAGTGTTCAGTTTGTTTTTGTCGAGTAGTTACGTTTTGATAGTGTATTCTGTAGGTGTTGTATATCTTTTTCCATACTATTATCATTACCAGAGGATGTTCCAGGTGCCCTATTGAATGACAATTTATGAAGACTATTCAGTTGCAGAACTCCAAAGATGATTACACTTTTTCTATCAGAACAATCCTGTTCTACTGAATACAATAAACAATAAGTGAATACAACAATAAAATTTCATATGGTATATGACATGTGACGGTAAAATGACAGGATTACCGCGATTAAACAACGTACAAACTTAAAATTCCCTAGGATTTTTTATTTTTGTCCATATCAACTTTAATACTTCGATTTATATATCCGGGAACGTCCAGAAATCTATAAAATTGAAAATTCTATCTGTTCCGACTTTGAATTATTCCAAAAAAGGCCTAGAAAATGTCACTCGATTTAGACCCGAAAATTTTATAGTGGCAACACTGAAAAGGGGTACTGGAATCGTGCATTGACCTTATTGAATGATGCGATCCCATGGTTGCCAACTGCGGTAAAATAATGACATTTGGCGTTTGCTAATGAATGAGTAACCTATCTTTTTGAGTTCCTTCTGCATTTTAATTTTTGGGACAGACCATCTTATATTTCTTCATAGCTGATTCTTCATTCTGGAGCCCCAACTTCATATAGGACGACTGGAAATCTCTTTTCAGACATATTCTGGAAATCAGTTTCTCATTTACCAAAAATGAAAATGCAGAAGGAACTCAGAAAGATAGGTTATTAGCAGATGTCAATGTGTCATTATTTTAACGCAGTTGGTAACCAAGGAGTCGCATCACTTAATGAGGTCAATTATATAGAAATATTTTTTTATATTTGAATAAACTTTATTTCACTAAATAGTGCTTTATAATAATTCTTTCAATGTATTAAATGCATTTTTTTCTATTATAAGTGTATTTTTTTTCTACAAACGTAGAAGGATAAAATGTTTAGAAAGATGTTTATCTTGTTATATCAGAGAAGTATAACTTCTTACATGCGTTCATAGCTACACACAGACTATTTTTTTATAACTATAAAATGAATAAAAGTTAAAACTGAAACCACCTCTGGTGTGAAATAAAATCGAAACGAGCACTTTTTACAATCACCAGAAATGCAATACTTTTCTCGACGCCGCATTCCACTATACAAGTCGGTGTTTTTAATGAAGAAAATTTCGTAAATGATAATTATGTTTACAATGGCAGTATTAGATTCACAGAAATAGGAACAAAAAATAAATCAAATATGTGTCATAGCTCTGTATCCTGAATTGATACTTTGCTGGTTTAGAAGTTTATGTTCTTTCAGAAACCATTTATCATCCATTTTTTTGTTGAATCGATCTGACTATATTTGCTGTTATTAATTATTCAAAATATTTTTGAAGGTACCGCAAAAGATATAGAAGGGTTGAAGCAGGCATAGAAGAACCGTTACCGTGCATTCCCAATCCAGAACCGTATCCCAGGAGTCACAGGCAACCTCCACCTAGCCAAATATCACCAGACATGGTATTCTTCTGTCGAAGGGTGTACGACTTCAGGCAGAAAAGAATCATGAAAAATCCCACATAAGTCCCTTTTTTTTTATTTATTTTGTTATTTGTTGAATATATCATTTTATTTTACTGTTTTAATCAAGTCATTTTTTTAGTACCGACAGGTACAAGAATTTTATTGATGTTTCTAAATAATCAAAAACAAAAAATCATAAGACTTCGGGGTTCCGACAATGACAGCATTTTATATCACAAAAGTTAGGTTAACATTTTCCAAAAAAATTAATAAAGAACCCAAAAATAAATTTTAGTCGTCTAAATTTGATACATATACATATTGTTGCGAAAAAGTAAAGGGAACATTTGTATTATATAAAAGTTAGTTATCAATAATGTTGTATAGAATATAGAGATTATATATTTAACACAAAAAAAGAATATTTATAATTAGTCAATAGTCTACGCTGGTATAAATGGTGTGTGCTTTTATAGTTGTAGTTGTGTTTTGTCAATGTCGTCTCTATCAGATCTTTTATATTTATTGATGTAGAGATACTTTGTACATATTTCTCGTATTATTCTTCAGTCACATCATCAGGCAAGAAGCTGTGAATCATCAACATAAATCTGAACCCGGGGCATATAAATTACATGAGGGTGTCTCAAATAGAAACAGTTCCATATTTCCTTTACAAATTAACGACGGAATCAAAGCAGGAAAATGTTTCTGAATTGTGAATAACCTAAAAAATACCGTTGAGAACTTTCGAGCATTCCTCCTGTTCTTCCCCACACAGTTTGGCGTGAATTTATATTTTTTCAGAGTGAAATATGATTCTTCGTTCACCAGTGATTTCCGAAGTGCGCGCTGCGGCTGCCCGGGCCGCCGAAATGCGTCATAAGGGTGTCAAGATGCGTCATAAGGGTGTCAAGACGCGTCATAAGGGTGTCAAGACGCGTCATAAGGGTGTCAAGATGCGTCATAAGGGGCGCCTGAAAATAGATGTAATCGAGTAATCATGGATACAATTTGAAATGTGAATAATTTTTTTACTATCGCAGTCTTTCCTCAACTCGAACAAGTCTTCTGAAGCAACTATCCTGGTAATTGGATTTTATATCTGTGCTGTTGTTTCAGTATATTCAAAACCCGTCAAGAAAGAATAATTTCTACTTGAATTAAAATGAATATCTGTTTGTTTCAGAACTTTTTTTCTCTATAAACTATCTATATACTCATTCTATTCTAATTCTTTGTTGATGTGCAATTTGTTCCTTTGGAAGTTGCTTGCCTTTTGTCCTACCTTGGCTTGAATTTGTAGATTGTCATGATGATGAATTACATGACTTCTTAACTCTATAACACTCGTCATTTATACCATTAGATGTGACGTTTGATAATCCGAGAAGTACGCATTTTGATAGTAAAATGTGTAATGAAAAATATAATCTGTTGAAAGGTCCTTCGCATCCTGATGCTACCACAAGTTAAAATGCTTGCCACAAATAACTATCAACTTTCAAAATAATTTTGATCATGAAATTAAAATAATCAAACAATTTGAAAGCAAGTAATAAAAACTAATTATTTTTGCTTGTTAGCTTTTTTCATGCTTAGTAAATATCTTCATTGCAAGCACCACTTCCAAACACCAGTAAAGTCTATGGACTGCAACACAATGACAATGTCAACTTTGACAGTTCTTGTACGATTTCCATACTTTCAGTTATCAATTATGACTGTTGTCTTGATCAACCACAATACAAAAAATGCGACAGAAAAAGTTTTAACATTCGGGAATGAAATGAAAATGTCTGTATGGTTTTCGTGAAACTAATTTTTCTTATCAAAGAGATTGTATAAATTAGTTGGTGGTAAACGTGAGATCAACCAACGGATTCGTTGTCTTTAGTTTACTGCCCCGTAAGTCAACTAATATATTGGCCAGATAAATGATTACATGAGCCTCACTGAAATTTATCACCTTTGCAGATAGAGGTCGCTTTTTCAAGAATGAAAATTTTCCTATTTTGCTGTCACTATATTTTTTATATTGTGTTTGGTTAAGAATAATCCAGTCATAATTAGTATATAACTTTATGTAGGCTGTTCAACAATTTTTGGCGAATTACTCACCCCTTGAGTTTCACTTTTCCAAGACTATGAAAATAATTCATTTTCAGAAGGTATCAAATGACCCTGAAAATTCAGCATGGGCCTGCAGTCTAATAGGATGCTGATGAGGAATGTTCCTCAATTTGGGTTATTACAGCAAATGCAAGTTTGAACAAAATAAAGTTGAGTTTATTTCATGAGTTTTTCAAATTCACTTCGAAAAGTATTCAAATTGATGTTTCAAATGTTGGGTTTTAATTTTTAAAAGGATTTGTTTCTAATTCACATATTAGCAACAGCGCCTATATCAAGTTGAAATAATTTATACGTACCTAGATATCCTACTTTAAAAAAGGAAAATTATCTTTATAAATCAACAATTAAGGCAAAATATAAATTATAGTTCAATACCACCTCCACAAGCCACATAAACAACAGTTGTTTTGTTATTTATTTATATAGAGGAAGATAGGTTAGGTGCACAAAATGTCATATGAAACAGAATGTCTCGGAACTCGGAACATAAGTAAACAGAACAGCACGCCTCTGAAATATGTCGTCTTTGTTTGTCTCATACAGGTAACAGATTCATTGTCCTTTATTAGCTATGACCGATGTAGCCAAATGGTGAAATAGAAACTAATCCCTTTAAATGTTGAATGCATTATTTCATTCCTTCTTTTTAAAGTATTTAAATAATTTTTTAAAGAAAAAGGTTGAAATGATAAGATTAAAATGCGTTGTTTTAGAGCTCTTTTATGAAAACTACTTGACTTTCGTCAGGAGGAACATTCTCCATTCTGTCCAGCTTTTCATGACGATAATCATACAGTTTTCACAATAAATTTTATTCAAGACCCGTTTCGCTACATACTAGCTTCTTCAGTAGAATTGGTACATGAAACTATTCTACAATGTCTTTCATATAACAGTAGATGATTACAAAACTTGATCAGATGAAACGGGTAGTTTTTAAAAAACTAATTGCAACACAATTTTACTTCTAGGAAAACAGATAATTTATAAATATGGTAATTATTCACATTTTATGACAGCAAGTTCAATAATGTTTGCCATCATTGATTTTCAGGGATTCCCGCAGGGAATCCTTTACTTTCTGTATGTAATATGTTGAAGTCCATGTTGAAACCATGGTTGTTCTCTTTAACTTGGACATTTCAACATGGACTACAGCATATTGAAAAGGGAAAATAAAGGACAAAAATCAAACCTGCAAACATTCAAAATATAGCAAAAGGTGCCTTGAATGAAATTCATTGAGAAAATTGTGAAAATTTTCATCAAGTAATTTCATAATTTATCTCCAACTGGTCAGCTATAAATATTAATGGAAAACTTCTTTTTGCTGCAGTGATAGATATTTTCAGAATAGCTTTTAATTTTATTGAATTTGATTGTATTTGTTTGATATCAAATTTCAAAAGATTAACTTCAAACTGAAAATATCTGTTTTGAGTGAAGTTTAAACTGTTTGATGAAGCGGTGAATTTACTTTGAATAAATACATTATCCGGAAACAACTATTTTTTCATTACACATTTCATAAATGAATCGTCTTTGAGTCGCGAACTTACAAAGCATTTCTGTAGTCGCAATGTTTTCAAAGTGTTGACGTAATTTTTCGGAAACATCTTAGTACCTACTATTTTTACATTGTTTAGTGTTATGTTTTTTTTATTGTAATTGAGTTTTGAATTTTATCTTTAATTTATGAGTAATATATTCTTGAAGCTCCTTGAGCCTTAAAAATAATTTTAAATTGTAGCCAAAGTTAACGTTATCACTATTTCTATTTATTATTTTTAATTATACGTAACTTAACCCAACATAGTTGATTCCTTATTTATATTATTGTAGATCCTTTTTTCTAAATAGCGTAGATGTCCAGGTATTATTTCTATTAAGATTATGCCTTTTAGGTGCCTTTTATACTTGTCTGATATTCAAAAACCTGCTTATGTTTTGTCATCTCTGTATAATTCATCAGTTTGTCTGGTCACCCATTTCTCAATAAATGTGTGAGAAGCATTAAGTGTCTTTCAATTCAACCTGCCAGGAAACCTTTTTTGAATGTTTTCCGGTACAGCCATTAACCAACAGATACAGTGCGGGTCAATGGTAACAAATACGCATTCAGAAAAAATGTGTACCATTCAATTTTATTTGAGGGGGGGGGAATTTTGAAAGTCTATGCTGTCTGTTCAAAAAAATAAAGTGAATTTTCATTTATCTCAAAAAATATTCATGCAATTTCTATTTTGTCCCCTTAAAGGAGTCCAAATAACTCTTGATGTGTTTGTTTGAAGGTGATTGACAATGTTTCATGATGAATTTCACAGACTTCCATTGTCTACTATATAAAATGATTTGAAATCCCTGAAACAACTAAAAAAGAAGAATTGAAAATGAATAGCTGAAAATAACAATTATATTAACCAAAATACACCTGAAATGAAATAATAGTGAAATAAAATACTTTGCGAGGCTCCTGCTGTCTTCTAGCCAAAGTCTTTTCTACCATCGCTTTGGCGTAGCCATTCCGTTGAAGATCATTTTTGATGATGTCTAGTTCTTTCTCGAGACCTTCCTTCGTATTACAGAGCCCAAAAGCATGGTCTAATAGAGTTTTGATGATTCCTCTTTTAGTCGATTGATGCTGGTTGGATTTGTGGTTCAGATACTGTCCCGTAAGAGTGGGTTTTCGGTATACAGATGTTTCCCACTTAGTGTCGGTCCTCTTCACCAAAACGTCTAAGAATGGCAATTCGTTGTGAATTCCCTTCTCCATTGTGAAATTGATGGAAGGTCTGACGCTGTTGATGTGTTTCAGGAAGGCTTCTAGGTCTGGCAGACCATGTTTGGACCCATCAACACAACATCGAGTGGTCCCAAGCTGAGATCTTGCACAGAGAGGAACATTGGTTAGGATAAAATTCAAGGAAGCCGCATACATGTTGTCCAACAACGTATTCAGCCAATCCAGCGTAGAAATACGCAACATATGAAAACCCATCATCAAGCGATGATGCCAAAACGGTCATCTCCCACGGAACCAGTGAAGCGGAAAATGGAAAGCGGGGATAAGTGAAAGTACTCGAACGACCTATAAATAGTCATCTCTCGGAGGAATCAGTCCAGTCATCACCCGAAGACGATTGTAGATACTAACAATCGAAACGTCGTGAACTAACGTGACTTGGAATCTCTTTACTTTTTATTTTTATTTTCTTTTTTCATTTCTTTATTTTTATTTATTCAATTGTTCTATTTTTACTTGTATTTTATTTCACTATTATTTCATTTCAGGTTTATTTTGGTTAATATAATTGTTATTTTCAGCTATTCATTTTCAATTCTTCTCTTTTAGTTGTTTCAGGGATTTCAAATCATTTTATATAGTAGACAATGGAAGTCCGAACTAGTGAAATTCAAACTCTTGATGCATTACGCCATGATAATTGAAGAAAACAGTGAGCAAAATCTTCACATTTTATCAAACTTGGCGTGCTTTCTTTGGTCTTGGCTCTCCTAGGCGATTAGACGATTGGTCATAAACATATACCTACCCATGATTCGTCACCAGTTATGACCATTTTAAGCAAATCTGGATCTTCGTTGACGTCATTCAACAATTCCTAAGCGATGCTAATGCAACGATTTTTTTTTTGTCATATAAGAAAAGCAAAAATTATAGTCGTAAAAAATATATTTTACCCAAAGATACATCAATTCACAATTGATGTTAATGAATAAACCATCACCCCTTTTCCGTTCTGGATATAAACAACTGAATGAATAACAAAGCTCTCGCCTGGCTCGCTCGAGTTGACTAACTATGACTGACTAATTCCCATCCAATCTCTAGGGCCCCGTGTTTTTTTTTCAGGTACCGCGTTTTTTTCCACCCATGTCGATAGTGGTTTCTTAGAGTCATTTGGAGATTTCGTTATGATTTGCCATAGATAGATAGACATATACTTTATTGTCCAAGAAAATACAATGTTATTGACAATGCTTGTTGAAAAATTTGGTATTTATACTTCAAAGTATAAAAGAAAAGAAACAATTCAAAAACACAAATACCCAGAAACACAATTTGAGCAAAACTAAGTTCTCACATGTAATACATAAAATATAACAATAGGAAATAAAATTTAACAAAGTTTGTAGACACAATAGTTTATATAGTCCCTTTTTAACGGTCGGTCGGTAGCCAAGCGGTTCGGCGTGGGTGCTTTGTTTACTCACTCGAATTGACTGCCGTGTTGGTCGGTGGTTCAAGCCCTAGTCTAAATGATCGATCTTCACTTGCTATCGTCCAACCCGTGTTAGGAATCATACGTTAAAAGGTAAGACCTTGTTAATCCTTAGCTCGCACAAGTTTCGACTTCTGAGGGTTGTCGTTCGTAGGGGTGCGACAGCTGGTTAACGGAAAAACAGATTTTAAAACAGATTTTTTTAACAAGAATACTTTGTCTGGTTTGTTGATGTATTTTATGTTCCGTTACTTGCAGGGTTATGTAATTAGTATGTTCCGGAGTTCCAACCATATTATGTTTTTTCTAAATCAGGTAAACAGTTTCAAGTATGAAAATACAAGTGACGATGAGAATTTTTTCTCTAAAAACAATGGCCTAATAGCTGGTATAGGTGGGTTCATAGTACTTTCTCACGTATAAACTCTCTTATCTGCCTTGTGAGTAGTAATGTCTCCTATAGCAAATATTTCAATCATTTTTGAATGATAGCGATTTTCTGTTTTGTTTTTCCCAGATGAAATTCAATTCCTTTAATACTTTCCATAATTTCTTTCTGCCAATGATTGGATACATACTTTGGTGTTCTTTCATGGTTCCCATTACATTGTCGTGGGTCAGTGTATCTTTCTTAAAATAAAAATAATATACTGTTCTTTTAATTGAAAAAATATTAAATGCACATCTAGGAATATTCCTCTTGATCCTTCACTTGCTTAAAATCAACAACTCCGTGATAATAATGATAGAATTTTCACAACTTTCATTTAAGATGCGTTTTGCTATACAGTATAGGTTCCTTCCTTCACTTATCACTCAATGCACCTTAATACATTATTCTCCAGCCACATTATGCATGAAATATCCTTGTGTTCACAGTAGAAAACTAAATACCTTTCTACTGTGATGTGATCACTTGAACCCTTTTCACATATAAAATATTTTGTCAAAAACTCCAGACTTACGGTACTCTCGATGAAATATCAAAGAATACAAATTGGCATTTTCGTGTCACCTAAAATGTTTAGTACTTACCCTGACCACCAGAGGACAATAGCAGTACTATGCCAGTATTTAATGTGGATATCAACAGAATTGGGTAATTAGTAGTCGCTGAAAACTAGTCGGTCGATATCGAAGACGGGATGTACGCTGAAATTCAATTAAATTAGAAAACCTACTGGTTTGACAGCGGCTGCTACCCAGTTTACCGACCAAGCGTCTTCAATTTAATCAGGTTGGAGCCCAGCTCCCTTACCCTTTCAGCTGGTTTTTGTCGAAGAAGGACAAATGGGTTCATGACAGGAGATATTGGCGGTTTGAAGTCCTCAGACATCAGTACCGCCCTTCATGGGGTACCCCTACCTGGCTGGGGTGGAATGGATGAAAAATCTATTCGTTTGTTACATGTTACAACAGAGGACATGAGGACAGAGTGTCGGGGGCATATCGGGAGGGGTCGTCTACAGCATAATCTATAGCTTCCCTAACTAACGGATTTTCGTGAGTTTCCGCGTTTTCAAAAACTCGCCGATTCCTCGACTGAATGGACTGCCGAATGGAAGGCAGCTGCAAATCTCTGCGGATGGCTTCATTCCGCACGAACCAAGGAGCATTCACAATCATCCTCATTAGCTTATTTTGCAATCTCTCCAGAATGGAGATATTATACGTAGCTGCTTGTCCCCAGACACCTGAAGCATGCATGATGACAGGCTTGAACATCGTGTTGTAGATGGTAATCTTGTTTTTCAAGCTCATTTTTGACTTTCTGTTGATCAGAGGGTACAGACTTGCAATTCAACCCTCGATCCTTGATTTGACGTACATAATGTGCGGGTTCCAAGTGAGCCTACGGTCTATTAGAAGGCCGAGGTACTTTACTCGCGCTTGCCAGTCAATCTCCCTTCCAGAGATTCTCACTTTTCTGGCCGGAGAAGATAACAATCTTTCCATGGTTATCGTCCGAGTCTTGTCCGGGTTTACTCGAATCTTCCAATCGAGGTACCAGCGCTCGAGGTCGTCCAATGCTCGTTGCATGTAGACGACGCCGAGCTCTCGACCTATGGAAGACGAGAGAAGAGCCGTGTCGTCGGCGTATATGGATATCTTCACACGCTCGGGCCTCGGAAGGTCACTGGTGTAAAGTGAGTACAACGTCGGAGAGAGCACGGCCCCCTGTGGCACTCCAGCGAGGATTTCTCCGTTGTCAGACAGAGAGCCCTCTACTCTAACCTGAAATGTTCTGTCTTTCAGGAAAGACCCAATCCACTGGATCAGGCCCCGAGGCAGGTCCTACGCGAATAATTTGTGCAGAAGGCCTTCGTGCCATACACGGTCGAAGGACTTCGAGATGTCTAACAGTACAATGTGCACTTTTTTTATTAGTGTTCAAGTGGAAAGTCACCCTCGTTTCGTTCAGGCTTGGAGTCCAGCTACCCTACCCTTTCGGCTGATTATTGGTCTCTAGAAGGACCAATGGATTCAATTGTTCAAATCCTGGATTGCTACCCAGTTATTTTGGTAATCACATTAAATACTGAAATCGTGCTGTTATCGCCCTCTGGTGATCAGATTTACAGAATACACTTGAAAGTGACACTGTTTGACAATGTCAAATTGGTAATTCAATTTTCAGTGTTATTTATATTTGGGAATGAATTAATATTGAGGATTTTTCATCTTATGGTCCTTAAATTAAATATTTGAATAAAATACGAGCAACAAATTTCGATTCTTTCTTCATCTATCAACATATGTACAAAGTTAGGTCAATCCCACAGACCTGTAAGAATAAAAACGAGGGGTTATTAAAATGCAATCGTTTTATGCCCTTGAAAATAAAAAACTTATCTATTGCAGATGTTACTGATTTATTTCTCTTTCACTCTTTTCGAAATTCATTCAAAAAATAAAAAAACCCAACAAATGGTGGCGGAAATATGATAGTTCGAAATTCAAACATCAAGTAACTCTGCAACCGGTTATCGAAATTAAAAAAGTGGAGGTCGTTGTATATACAGAGAGAATTGAAATACCTTTCATACGAAATGTCACAAGACACTCCTTTTCTTTTGAAAAAAAAGTTCAGTGCTGTTCATTTTTGTCGTTAAGCAATTTTCAGCCAATTTTTCTCTACGAAATCAAATTGAACCAAAGCGCTGCCAAAACAGCCTGAAAAATTGAAGTCCCACCAAAAAAAGACTATGGTTACTGTATGGTGGTCAGCAACTGGGGTGACTACCATTTTTTCAAGCCCTTCGATGACTTTCTCATCAGTAATACTGCCTCCAGTCAGGACCAGGGAAAAAAACAGCCTTCGTCGACTTCATCGAATCCCGATTACACAATTTTCATGCTGACGGAATTAATCGACTTGTTTTACGTTGGCAAAAGTGCAATGATTCAAATGGCGGTTGATTCGATTAAATTGAATAAGTATTCACAAAGATAAAGTTCGAAACAGAATCATAAAAACGGACAAAACTTTTGAAACAACCGATAATTGAAACTCGACTGGAAAATTATGATTTTGCTCATGCGTGATTGGCTTCGCATTTAGTGAGTTATGGATGGTTTTGTCTATTTACCCAACTAGGATCTGTTAAATAATTGACGCTTTTTTCAATTGTCATAGAAAAAAAGTTCTGATATTTTGAGTTTTTTTATTTTAAATTAGAAGGTTATATTAATAAAAGAATGTATGTGTTCAGGAAAAAATCTAATACTGGGAATAAATTTTGCTACTCAATATATGATGGCAGCTATGATTCTTTTTTGTTTTTGGTACATCTACACTGGTTTCTATCCCATTCTGTCCCAGTAGTACAAATGTATTGAAATTTGCATTCACACAAACATTTGTCTCTATTCCAGACAAATTTGCCATGATTTGCAATCTTCTTCTGACAAAGATGATGCTCCTTCTGAAAAACAAACACATTTCATTGAATTATATACTCAAATTCGGAATCCGTGCTAAGGGAAATGCATTTCAAAAGGTAACTCGCACATTCACCCATTCGCTCTCACATGCATACACATACATTCTTATATGCGTTTACTCACATACAACTATGCTCAATCACACACAAGCTGAAGTAGAGTAGGTATACACAAGACAAATCTCACAACATGTAAATAACAGATTAAAATGACTTGTGTTAAGTAACAAAAAAAGTGCGAAAGGTACTGAACCAACAAAAAAATGAGGATGAATCACAATTTTAATTAATTTTGATTTAACAGAACCAAAACCCTGAAATGGAGGATTTTTGGAAATGAAAGAAATTTAAGAATCAAAAACTGTCTCACTGTCAAAACTGACATACACCCACTTGAGTTTCTCACACCATAAATTGCTTATCTGCTCAATCAATTCACATTTCAACTCAAATTGTCCAAAACTGGAAAAAGCTAACGGATTTGAGTACAAGTTGAACAATAGGATCTTTGGATCTGAGTATAGCCATTCTAGTAGGCCATACTGAATCTCTTGGTCAGTCCACTTGACTTGAAGACGGTTGCTTTGATAACCCTTCTTCAATTTGGTTTAAGAAGACTCATACACTTCTCCTACTTTTCATAAAAGGCCTTCATCAATGTTGGCCTTTTATGAAATGTCATCCAACAGCTCAAGCAGCTGCCTTCAGAAAGACTACTTCAATGCCAACTCAGTCAGATAGGCACACTAAAGTACAAGTACAACTGTTTAATTCCCAATAAGGTGTATTATTTCTAAGTTTTCTCTTTGAGTTTGTACAGCTGTTTGTACTGTTCTATATGGTGAAACCAAAAAAGCAATAATGTTTTTTGTTATCGTCAGTTCCGATGTATAGTTTGTGCTGACAGGAGGTAACCTCTTTACTGAGGTTATTTGAGTGGCGTTGTACCACTATTAGCTGAGTAAATGTCCTTCTTGGCATCCGGATGAAGAAGAATACTGTGAACTACAGGCTGCACATCCTCTCCATGTCCATAATGTAATTCTGTGTTGAGATGAACCATTTAACATTTGTCCACTCCGAATTCTATACTGATTACATAAAACCTCTTTTCCAAGGACATAAACTCTCAAATCGCCTATTGATTCAATAACTATTTTGAAAGCTCTCCCAGACTCCTAGTTGAAGACCTTTTGGTGGAGAGAAAGGCATACTATCACTGTGCCAATTTGCAGCCAACAGTTTTATCTATTTTATCGTAACCTTTGCAGTTGGGAGTGTTTTCATTTTTGTTCAGAAATTATTCTACAATGACACTTAGAAAAAAAAAGTCACTCACTTCGTTGATGCATTTACATTTGCAAAATTTCTTATCGAAAACTTGACTTGGCAAACACTTTATGTTCTCTTTATCACATCCACATTTACATTTGATGTCTTGAGGTATCACGACACGGGAACATTGATAGTTTCCAGAAACAAGAACTGCTACAGCCATTGAAATATTTTTCTTTTCTACTGATAGGCACGTTTTTGTACCAGAACAGCCGCCCGAACACAGTTTAGTACTTATTTTTTCTGGGAGTACCTGAAAATAATCAAAAACATGTTTGAATAATCTGAAATATCATTATGAAATAAATATAGTTGAAATACGAATGTGAAGATGGGAATTAATTTTTTTGCCAAAACGCATCACTTTCAAAGGAAATAAAAAGCCGACTTTTATTTTGAAATAAAGGATCAAGAAACAATAATAAGCGTCATAGGACATTGACTCTACATGGGCTAAGTCTCGGGCCTTACATATAGATGGCGCTAGCCTTACTGCTGTTTCAGTCCATACTAACCTCCAAAAGAAAACTGTTGAAATTTCATGATACTCTACTAATAAGTTTGTGAATTATTGTGCTAAGAGTGACACTACTTTTGTTATTTTCAAAACAATTAGTTCCATCGTCTTTTATAAGAAATTATTATGATTGACAACTCATGTTTTCTCAGTAGTGTCAGAGTCATGATCAACATTTCTGTGTCTTACCTTACCTCCTTCGTACTTGATGTCTACAATTGTTGCTCTGGGCTTACACTTCACTTTCTTAGACATTGCTTTCATATTCTTTTGAAATTCTTCAGATGAGCATACCTCTGAAACATGTTATCATTTATAATTTCATATAGTTTAAAATGAGTTTAGAGTTTTTATAATGCACAAATCACAATAAGTACCTTTCCCTTGTGTTTTACCTTTTGGTTCTACGGAAAACGCAGGCATTCGTAATCGGGGACCATTTTCTGAAATAAAAAAGTTTTTTTAATGCACAAATCAGAATAAGTATATTTCCCTTGTGTTTTACCTTTTGGTTCTACAAATAAGGCAGGCATTCGTAATCGGGGACCATTTTCTGAAATGAAAAAAAATTAAAATATTGAAGATAGGAAAATTTGTTACACTAGGTGTTGCTCACAAAGAGATTGGTCTGAAATGCTTTCACCTCTAATTGAAACAATATATTAATCAATTTTCTCCTCATAAACCAGTTCACAAAATATTAATCAATCAATTTATTCAATTCAAATACATATTCTTGTCTATAATGGATGTTACATAGGTCGGATTTTTTTTCTTCCATTGATATATTACTTACATTTATCGAACATAAAAGTGACATTTTCAACGCTTTGGCATTAAAATAATGTTCAAATGCCTATGCGTTAAAAAATAACTGTTCCTGCATAAGTAACCGACGAAAAAAATACCGTTATGAATTAACTCTAAAACAAAGTTACTGTAAGTGTATTTTTTTGAAAAATATAATTGAACACAAATATCGAGTTGTTTCAAAAGTTTTGATCTCTTCTAAAAGTCACCCACTCTGGACTCTAGCCTGACCAGATGTCATGCAGCTTCTCATTAAATTCAGCGACTCCTCTCTTCGAACATTTCTGCTCATATATCCGTTCGAATAATCAGTCAAGTGCGGTTAGTATTTGTGTTTATAAGATGTACGTTAACAACTCATAACACGAATTTAGGCATGTTGTCAATCTGTAATTCTTAGGAATCGACAAATCTCCGTTTTTGCGGATAAGAACGGTCCGCTCCTCGACAAATCAATCCGGAATCTGGTGCTCTCTGTCCAGCTATGACTTGGAACTTCTGGCCAGATGGCGGTGGGTGCTTGGTAGTTTTTTCCACCAATAATTGTTCAGCCCACTGGAGCAGCAAAATTCTTGGAACCTACAAGGACTTTTTGAAAGTGATCCGTGCTAACGAATGCTTCGAACTACGCTAGGGCTGGAGTGGCTGCGAGTGTTCATAGATGTCCTTCCAGAAAGATCAGCTGTCGGCGGATTATCCACAACACGCAAAGGCTCTTGGAACAAGCGAGAAGGTTTCTCGCGGGACCTGATGTTTTCCGCGATACTTCTCGCTAGTCTCACTAGTGACTTCTTAGCAGCCATTAGCATTTGTATCCTATCAAGGCAGAGCTGTTTGGTGGTCAACAGTACGCCTTGACTTAAAGTGTGATGAATACGTCGTAATTTGGCGGCTATTCGCCCCACTGCGGGCGTGAAAGGCCTGTTGGCGGCCCTGTAATCCATCACACATTGGATACGAGACGCGTGTTGTCTCGCCGACGTGATCTTAGCCTCCATCTTGTGTACACGCCGTTCAATCTACCGAATCGCAAGGCCGGGATTTCGTCATTCCGTCTCGGAAAACGAGCGGAAAACAAGCCAGTTCTTGTGGCTTCAGGGGCCTAATTCTGTGAAGCGCCCTGCGTGTTCTGTTTGACTCTATGGTGGTATGATGCGAGTCACCTCTCCAGCCGTGCCAACGGGTAGTAGAACTGTCACTTCTACCACTTCGTTAGCAGGCTGGGAAGGAGCTATATAGGAGGATATGATACGTAATCTCTAAGATTTTGGGCAGAAAATGCGGCATGCTCCGGATGTGTTTTACACCACAGAGCATGTAATCTCGCCATGTACCCTCTTCGCGCGGGCTCACTACTCTCGTAGCAATGCATAAGGCCATCTCTTAGCTCATGCGTCCAATCAAAACGTCCGTTGTCATTGCTAGGGTTGTCATGGGTAGGCAAACCATCATTATGGGCCCCACTACCTTACATCCGACCCCTCCGACTACCAGGAACCGAGTTTTGGGTCTACCGGCTGGTTAGCTCTGTAGAACCACGTCCGGCACCTTAGGGAGAATAGCGTTCTCCTTCCCGGGTACGTCTGGGCTGCCGGTCCGGTTTTTCACCAGTTGTTCAGGTAAGTGATGGTACAACTCACCAAAGGCCTCAGGTGTTAGTGGCTAACCCTGCTCCAAATGTGTTCATTATTATTATTGAAACATTTTCAATTTCACTTTCAAATACACTTTTTTGTAGTAGTTTTACCGAGCGCCAAAGTGATACGTTTTTGCATGAAACAATGTAAGAAAATATCAATTTTGAGTTAACATTTCAATGTGGAAAAGACTAAGTAGTTGTATAAAAATACATAACCTTGTTTTAACTGTGTAGGAAGATAATTAAAAAAAATGTGAAAAACTATACCTGGCAGACTTGGTTTATCCGTTAATCTTCTTCCTCTATCCACAATATGCATTTTCTTATCTGTCTGGGGAATGAATATTTCATGCTTCTGAAAATCCAGCTCAAACTGTTCACTACCAATATATTCTCTCATGATTCTGTGTTTATCATCGATACACACCCATTTACACCCCAAAACGACATTCGCGAAAACAACAATCACTAATATCTTCAACATCTCTTTCTTGTTCGAGTAACGCTGAACCTCTTAGAATGAGCCGTAAGATGAAAATGACTAAAATTAGATCCGCATCAAAGTGCGTCAGTACTAGAACGGTGGTTTTTATAGAAAATGTTTATTTAAAATGATTCTTGATTAAACAAAATCCATGTGTTTCTATGCGTGATTGATTTTCCTCCGGGACTTATCACTATTTCCCACAAACCACGACCTTGGAAATATAAACATGCCTCTTAGTGGTTTACTATCACATTGGTGAAAATGGAAGTTGTAATCAAAGTACACCTCACAGTTAATCTGGATCATGGAAGCAAGTGATATTGCAACTAACCAAATCAGCATCATCAGGGGATGACTAACACTGTCATATAAACGAGTGCATAAGTCAATGTTATTTTCCTGATGCATGGAAATGTGCAAAAATTATACCCCTACCAAAAAATAATCAACCACAATATTTTAATGATTTGAGGTCAATAAGTATTCTCCCGACATGTTCCAAAATTATAGAAAAAGTAATGGAAAATAAAATGCGCCATTTCTTTAATCGTTACAATATTTTGTCATGTGGTCAAGTTTTAGAAGAGGTTACAGTTGTGCAACAGCATTATTAGATATCTAAGATAACATAATTGAAGCTATAGATAAAAATGAAGCCAGTTGGATTATTCAAAAGCATTTGACACCATCAATCATTAAATACTTTGTACTATATTACATTTTTTGAGTTCAGTGATGCATCAGTGATGTTGATATCATCTTATCTAGATAATAGATTACAAAAAGTACAGATTCATGATATTTCTTTTACTTGGACAGAAGTTAAAACATGAGTACCTCAAGGCAGCATTTTAGGCCCACTTTTCTATACCCTCTATACTGCCACATTTATCAAGAAGATGAAGTCTTGTAAATATCACCTTTATGCAGATGATTCTCAAATATATTTATTTTTCAAATCTTCAGATATAGGTCAAGCAGTAACCGATATAAATTTTGATTTGAATACGATTCTAAAAGTGTCCACTGATCAATCCAAACAAATTAGTAGCTATTATTTTCGGAAGTGATAGCATCAGGGAAGAAGTAAAAACCATAGTTTGAAAATGGGAAACTCTGAGATACAATTTAGACCGTATTCAAAAATTTGGGGTTGTTTTTAGATCATAAACTAAGATTTCTTGAACATATAACCTACAGACTTAAAATTGCTTATTCATCATTGAAATTCATATATCCCCATAGACAATATTTGGATGTAGATGTCAAGAAAATGCTATGTGATTCATTAGTTTTATCTCATTTCAACCACTGTGACGCTGTTTATCATTCATGTTTAGACAAACGACAGGTATCGCATACAAAAAGTTCAAAACTCTTGTATTAGGTTAATATTTGGGATCAGAAGAAGGTCCAGGATTTTACACCAATTAGCAGATTTTAAGTGTTTGAATATGTTTAGTCGTAGATGTTTTCATGCAACATGCATATTCTTTGAATATTCAAATATAGGAATCCACCCTACTTATATGAACATTTGTCTTATATAATAGATATCCATAACCTGAATTTGCATGAAAAGGAAATATTCAAACGATCTTTTTCCTATAATATCTCCTCCACAATAAATTATCTCCATAAATGAGAAAACAATTGTTTTAACATGTCAGAAACTGTTTTTAAAAGTAGATTTAAACAGCATCGTTCAGCATTCAGAATAACTAGGTCCGCGGCGAGAATCCTGAAAAAGGTTTTAGCTATTCATATATCTATATCTTTATATTACCTTCTCTTCTCTTTTTTTTCTTTCTTCTTTTCTTCTCTTCAAGCCCTTATTTATTTATTTTCATACAGTTTCGGCATTGGTGGAAGAGCAGATGCGAATGCGAATTCGCGATCTGAACCAAAAGCCATTTGCAATCAAATACAAAGTGTTTTTGTTTTTCAAACTCTTGTATTTGGTTTTTTATTATTATCTTGTTATTTTGATGCTGGGCAATGAACTTATTATTATTATATCCTGTTGATGCAAACTTGGTTAGCGGAACGCGCTTCGAGAGATACCTAGCATTTCTGTTCTGGTGGGGAAAAAATGTTTTCAATGGACACTTATATCGTGGTTACTATCAAAATCACCTTTGACTGGGCAGTCACTGGAGTGAGAAATTAATACTCCCACTCTTGCTTCGATATTGATTTAAAGATAACAGTCACAATAGTAATGGTTCAATCAAATACAATAGATCGTGTAGTATATACCTACCTACCTATCAGGACTACCATATTGTACCATATGAGTACTTCAACTTTTGAAAAATTGATAAGTCAGAAATAGTGATTGAAGGAAAAAAGTATTAAGCTACTTTAAAAGTTTTTTCCATTTTTATGAGTCTACTTTAAACTGTAATATCTTGCCCTGAACATCTCTTGTTATCGTAGAAGATCCACTTTTCATCATACATTACGATCTGATGAATATATCGTTTTGGTTGCGCAAAAGTAAAGAAGAACAGACCTCAAAACGTGACCTCAAAATGTGACAATACGTTTCAAACCATCAAAAACCGCATGAGAGCTGACGCCAGTTATTTCGCCATCCCGAGCTCCGTTTGTGATGGTTAAGCCTCCAGGGTGCTAAAATCCTCGTCATGGATTTCTGTAGGTCGACTACTTTGGGGCTCATCTTTTAAAATAACCTTATATAAGAACAATTTTTGAAGACAGTTGCATGATCTACATGCAACTGTCCTATAGCAGTTACCGTTAAGGAGAAAAAAGAAAAATATTTTTTCTGAACTGGTCATTGACAAATTTCTCAGTATAAATGGGATCAGTGGGTTTTTTGATATTTTATTCATAACAGTTCTTTCAAAACCAATACCAATTTTCAGCTCTATGTGGATTATTTTAAATTTGAATGTCTATTTTGACTTGATTAAACATGTAATGAAACAGGGTCGTTTTTGACGTTTACAATCGTTGGGGATGTACAGAATAACAAAAAATGTGTCCTACCCTACCGACCCTACGCAAGAAGTGCAAGATTAAGCACGTGAAAGCTAATTTATCCATCATACATTCATACTTCAGTAAACATTATTTTATGAATGATCAGGAAGTTTTTAGTCAATAGAACTCAAACGAAAGAGTTCCTATATTTCCATTCCAATCGATAATACCTACTCATTTCACTTTACTGTAATGTATTCATTCCACTGAGATATTCATAATAAAATAAAGAAATTATGATGGATTTAGTTTTATAAATAGAATCATATAGCAGATTCGTCCTGAAAAAGTCATAATAGGTGCAGTATTACTAATACATATTTTGATTTATGAGATCCATTTGAACTTCTTTAAAATATTAATATTCAAAATGATTTACCCTTGCTTACCTCAGTACGCCTATGTTAAAACGCATATGTAATGATCCCATACTTCAATTTAAAAATAAGTAATGAGAGTTCAACATACACGGATATTATTAAGACATGCAAAAAGGTAAGTTGAAAAAATCTCGATATACATTATCAAGTCATCTAGTAGGTAAGTAAGTAGTACGTTTTTAGCTTAATAGTCACGATCAACCGGAAATATGTAGTTTGTATGCAACGCAATTTTATAAAACCAGAAATTCTAATTCCCTGAATCATCGACAGGAGGCCACGAATCAGGTGATCTGGCAACCGCAGTGTACATAATGAGCAAGAGGTGGCGTTCCACGTCACAAAAAGATTATTGAATGCGCTGCTGCTGTGAACGTTCGTGTATTCTCGAGGTAGCGATATTCGTCGTGATTGGTTACGAGAAAATCCGATCGGGTCAATGTCTGAGCTTCAGAAAATTAATGGCAAGGTGAAGCCCGTTGCAAATCAAAAATGGTTTAACAGGGCGAATTTGTGAACAATATGAAGTGTATGTGTCGATTACTTTTGTAAGAGTACGGGACATTTGAAACTGTGACGTTAGTGTTCGTTCAATATAGACAAATGACTGTAGTAGTGTAAAAAAGACAGTGATCACTCGATCGGAAGAAGGGTGTCAGCAAGAAATGTGATAGGTCTATGAAATAACCAAAAAACTGTCGAAAACAAGAGATGAGCGGACGCCCTAGAACTACCTCCTTCGCTGAGGGCAACAAGCAGCCTCTGAATCCACCTCTAGGCGGCATGAAAATTAGCAGTAAGTGTGCTCCTCCGTTACGTCTCCCAAAAGATCACTTGCGTAGTCAATATGGCTGCGAGCTACTTTTTCGATTTGTATGTCAGTCCAAATCCGAGCAAGTCGTAAGAGAATAACGATCGATTATATATCGGCGGGCGATTTTGTAATTTCACCGAGCTTTCCCCGGAACAGATGGGCTGCACTTGCTTGTCAAAGTCATTGTGTCCAGTGCACCGTGCACCTGCCCTAAGTGACGACCCTTGAAGGGTCTGCCTCTGTCCATATCGGGAGCCTTTAACTCGACGCCCACAATGACGTGATGCGTTCGACCAGTCATGTTAAAAAAATCCGATTATTTGCTACAAAATGGCACGCTCTAATAGTAACTGTTTTTACATTGTCAGGTTTCTTTTTCCCTCGCGTTGAAACAAAAGCTTTGTTTTTATTTCCCACAATCGCAATCGACATTGTTGTCCCAGATATTGTGGAAAATGTGATTTCTCAAGTTGGTTGAGTAATGCTTTGTTCCTGGGAAGGAATTGAAGTCTCTCTCTTACAACATGCACTGGTTAAACGTACAAAATAGCTGAAAATACTCATTTCCTTGACCTAGTCCTTTAAAATTTATGGAGATACTGGTATATTTATTTTTACTGCTGTTTTGCAATGTTTCTGATATTTAGATCACCACTTTCAATTTCTGTGTTAACTGAAATAGGTACCTATATTGACAGGTGAGGAATTATGCAATCAACCTGAAATTTTTTTTAAAGATTCTCTTTCAATTTTGGCCACGCCCCATTGAAGTAACTTGTCCTTGGAAAGTGACAGACGTCAAAATTATCGTCATAATTTGATTTTACAAGACGTCAATACAGAAATACATTTTCAGGAAACATAATAATCCTTTAGGAGGCATGATAATCCTATATAGTGTAGTGTCCAAAATCCTAATACC